GTTCCCCGGTCGGTTCGCGCACCGGCCAAGTACTGTGTTTCAATTCTACGCCTGATTAATTGATTGACAAGGTTCATTTCAGCAAACTCCACAAATTCTTTACAGGTGTAAGGCTTGTAAAATTCCAACCACACAAAATAAAACCTTACAGAATCCTGGGTCTGCTGGACAAACGTGATCCCGAAATCAATCTTTTTTGTCAATTATGGCTGCCCAAGGCCAAAAAGCCTCTTATAGTGCCAGTCCTTGAATTTCGTTACATTGCGGGTAAAGGTGAACCAAAGAAAAGTGCTTTCTATCCGTATTCTGTGGAATGCGTCGTCCCAAGAAATGAGCATGAAAAAGAAATCGTGCCTCCAATTGCTGTTTCCATTGTTGAAAGTCAGTGTGACACTGCATCCAATCTCCTCAAAGTCACCTACAATCCTTTGGAGCCAGGAAGAAAGCCAACCTTAGCAGTCTGTATGAAAAGGATGCATTTCATCAAGGAAGACCCGTCCCTCAGGCTAATTGAGCAATTGGAGCTCGTCCGCATCCTGGGGGCAGAAAAGGTGTTCATCTACACATTGGATACTCAGCCAAACCCAAGATTGCAAAGAGTATACAGGTATGTGTCATTTCCCAAATAGTGTTCATTTTTCAACCACTGCTGGGTGTTCGCTTTGGACAGGAGATTGCTGCCATCTCAATTTTCGAAACCGACGAAAAAGGCACAGAAATTTTTCCATTCATTGGTTTTCATTTGAAATTCTATGAATGCTTTTCCTCAGTAAATGAAGCTAAATCTGATGGGACAGGAATTTGATACAAAAATATCATTGACTATTGAACAACAACAAATTTAAACTTTTGACATTTCATCACATTAATGCCTTCTTGTTCAAACGTGTCTTTCTTTGAAAATGAGTTGTCAATCTCGAATTGCTCAGGCAGATTTTAGACACATTCTGCAAAAATATACCTGCTCAATGATCGGACTGCACAATTATTGATCTCATTGTAATCCGCATATACAGGGTGGGACAAAAGAAGCGAACTGGTGTTTGACTTGAAATAGCTCAAAAGCAAATTCAGTAGCAACAATGAAAAAGCCCTAAATGAAAGCTTGTTCAAATGCATTCCAAAATAGTATTTAGTTTAATGGTTTCAATAAGTGGTACAGCATGGGTACAAGACCATTTGAACAAACACTTTTCAGACAAAGTGTTGGCCAGCAACTCTTTCTCTGGATCCACTGTTCTCCAGAGCTGTTTTTAGGGATGAATGAGGTGCAGGATCTATAGTTTGATGCAGAAATTGCATGTTGCCTTCAAGAAGGTGCAAAAATTTCCAAAGGTCAGGAGGTGGTGGTGAGAAGTAAAAAACAAATTGAGTGCAGTTGAACCTCGAGAAGTTGGACCTCCCTAAGTTGAATACTGCCCTTAGTCAAATGTTTCCAAGTCTCTATTTGCATTCCCTATTAAAATCAATTCAGTAGAAACCTCCCTACCTCAAGGTCTGTCTCTCATATTCCCTCTTCTAGTCAAATTTTTTTCAGCCTTTTGGCTATTACTTTTTGATACATTGAAAGATAAAAGCAAAAAACAATGAAGTTAATTTGTTTTGAAACAAAGTGACTAATTAGGCAATTGAACCCCTGACTTCAAGTTCAGCAGAGCTGTAAACTCATTTACAAAGCAATTCATCAGGCCCAGAATATCACCATTTACATTTTTCTGAAATTCTTTGATGTTTCCTGCAGACAATTATTGTTCCCCTGTCTAGAAACCTATTCAAGTCAACACCTCCCCAAGTAAAAGTTTTCTCCTGGTCTCTTGAAATTTGATTTAGAGAGGTTCATCTGAATATTGCTCTTCTCCCAAATTGTAATGCAAGCTTGTTTGGTGTGCCAACCTGGTGGCTCCTATCAATTGCCACAACTCAATTTTCTATCAAACTGTGGTAAGTCAAAAATTGGTTCACTTTTTCAGTACACCCTGAGCCCAATGAACCCTTGCTTTAAAGTGCTCATACATTGGCATATCACCTGTGATTTGTTCATACAATGAATCCCAATGTGATCCTAACTTGATCAGTGTCACCAATTTTTTGAGTTGCAGTTTAAAAAATATATAATATGCACAGAACAGCGATATTTTTTAGTTGTTTCAAATAATTATTTGGGGAGCAAAATTAATGCGCAAGAAGGTGGATAATTGAATCCTGAAATCAGAATCTTTCTAAATTTAAAGATATTTTTGTGGCATCGCAAATTTGGTGTACACAAGTCACCATGAATGAATAAACATTGACCTCTGTATGCACATGCCAACAATTCAGAATTTAGATGAACCTCACAGACCACATTCATTCATTTCCAATAAGTTCTAGTAAATGTCCATAGGTTCATGTTTATAATCTTCTACAGCGGAACAGCATTACTGAACTCATACGTGTGCAGCTGTCACGTATAGCAGCCTTTATGGAAGCTTGTTTTGGAGCTTTTACAGTGGGAACAAGTGTATTTTATTAAACATGAATGCATAATTTTTGCAAAGCCTCTGAGAAATTGACATTGCTTAAAAATCGAAGGATGCTTGGAAAACAATGAACCCAATGATTTTCATGTATCATTTATCTTTTGTCGCAGGTATTATGAAGACCAAGGTTTTCTGGAAGTGGCCAAAGTGACAATCCCAGGAGAACGCCCGAATACCCCAATTTTTCGTAATAAATTTCTGTATGCACGGAGCAAAATTCGCTGGATGTTGGAGATGATTCCTGGAAATGACTGTCTTTATAAGAGCTTCTACAGACATGATTTGCTAGCAATGATCGACCTGGACGAGGTCATCATCCCGGAAAATGGAATGAAGTGGCGAGAAATGGTCAAGAATGTCACCCAAGGAAAGCCTTACTCCCAATTGTCATTTCGCTATGCGTATTATCCAACCAATTTCCCGAAACCTTCTGATCCCAGCTCATATGATATACCTGATTACCTGACAAAACTAAATACTGTTCACCGACTACCATTCAGCAAAGCTTTGAAAAACACTGTTAAGGGCTTCTACAATGCTTCAGTTGCCCTCAGTTGCAACAGTCATTTGGTCTACACTTGTCTGAAGCCTCCATGCTTGACACTTGATGTGCCCACAAGCATTGCATCTTCTCATCACTACAGAGCAGTTACTAAAAATGAAATGAAAAGACATCAGTATGACTCAAAAAACAAAACCACTGTGGAAGATTTATCCTTGTGGGCGTTCAAAGATGAGCTTCTTCAGGCAGTGAATAAGGCAATTTCAGATCTTGATTTGGCTTGAATGTTGGCATCTTGAAAATGTGTCATTTATGAGCTTTATTCGTGTTCCTGTGAGACAATGATGCCTAATATTGTATATGGCCCAGGTACTCTTCATCATTTCCCCTGCAACCCCTTTCTCATACAGTAATTTTTAATGTGGCAACTGACAATAGTCAAAATTTTTGTAGTATATTTAGACTTCTTAGAAAATAATTTTTAAAATGTGAATATTTGTGCCGGCTTCAAAAATTCCACAGGACTATGCTTGTGAGGTGATGAATCACACTCAATTCCATTGAACACTGTTTATCTAAAATGGAAGTGTGCAACCTTACAAATTATGCATGGATGCTATAAACGTTGAAGTGCTAGCAGATTTGTTTCCATCTTGCTGTGGAATACACCGTCATTTTGTGTGTTTTGAAATGAACTACGTTGTTAACTGATTGTCATGAGTCCCGCTTTTTTCATATATCTCGTGGTTTAGATTTAAAACACCCCAGTTTGTTTTTAATGCATGATAAACCCTGAAATACAGTATTGACATATTCACTCAAGTATTGTACCATGACGCGCACCATTTTTCTCGAAATGGAGAAGAGAAAAGCGGGCGGTGCGCGTTCTTTATTGTACGGGTGTAAAAATTTTTGAGAAAGTTTCAGATTAAGTTATCAGGTGTAGAAGTTCATTATTCCTGATTCTGACTCCCACGTTATTTTGATAAGGTTCCAACCATCGAATTCTGCGATGACCTTTCGCGGTTCCAGCAAATTTAAAAAACGACGCACACACTGTATTTTCATTCGGATTACCCCTCAAATTACTATAGTTTTTTTCTTAACTCAAAAGCATCTGTGTTAATATGCAGCAGTGGAACACGCCTAATCTAAATGCAAATCTGTAACTCATCAAAGAGGGATCCTCACATAGTCCGACCAAATTTTTCGAATTGTTTTTTTTCAATCTTGTTATTCCCTTCATATGCACAGGTATATGAGTCATTTTGTTTCTTTTTTTTCTCCATTGTATGCGAAAGTATCAGGAACCTAAAGCTTGTAGGGTTGTTTGGTGAACCATTATTTCACCGGTAAAAAAAAAAGAAGAAACCAACCCTCACAATGATTGGCAAGCAAAGAAAAAAAAATAGTTTTGAGCCCTTTCAGTTGAAGAAGTTTGAAATTCCATGGGACGTTTTGTCAATGTTATGCATAGGTGTCAGTCTACGGAAAGTCGCAACCGGCGATTGGGGCGCCCTTACACGCGGTGCTCTTTCTTCGAATGTCCGCATCTGCATCGGACAAATATGTCTGCGCCCCTGGCGTGGTAATGACTAGGATTGCTGACAAGAGTTGCTTCGTTCGCCGGATAACTTACCGATTTTGTGATGAAAGAACTTCTGAGCATATCTGCCTAAGAAGCCAGTGTCGGAGAACATTACGAGTGTGTCTCACCGCATCTTGGATCTATTCTCACTTCCCAGAAATCTTGCTTGTTTCGCTTTGTTGGCTTGAGCTGTAAGTTGGCGACCCAGTTGTGTTTTCTATCCATCCTCTCTTGCTCCGTTCGGTTGGACATCGTATCTGATGAACATCGGTATTCCGACGTGCGGTGGAGCATTGAATGGCATGTTTTGATTTGCCCGATCACTCACATGGGCGATTTGGGGCTAATACCTACTTGTTGACCGCCGTGTTGATTTCCAACATTTTGGTTCGCAGATTGGCGCTCCATGGAATGATTTGATGAGTCCGTCGAGGCTCAGGTGGTTGGGTCGAGCGAGGAGTCGAAAACCCTAAAGTTGATCGGCCTCCTTCGAAGTATATTCTACCCGCTCGGCGCCCGATCTCTAAATTGACTGACTGGCTGGTAGTTTCCTTTTCTAACGCCTGTTCGCCGTTCCGGCGAACTTTGGTCGTTACCGAAGGAGCACAGCTGACTTCTTTCTAGAGTGGCCGGTGATGCAGACGATAAAATGCGTCGTCGTCGGCGACGGTGCCGTCGGGAAAACTTGCCTTCTCATATCGTACACCACGAATAAGTTTCCATCTGAATACGTGCCAACAGTGAGTTTTCCTTGATCCATTGTCCGCAGCGAATATTTCAATACTCCGAGTCCTTTCAGGTGTTTGACAACTATGCTGTCACGGTGATGATCGGAGGAGAACCGTACACGTTGGGTTTATTCGACACAGCAGGTTGGTCCGCAATCGAAAATCGCAGTTCGCTGTTTTACTTGGAATGTTTCGGAGAATCACCAGATGACCTTCCATTGCGTTGCAAAGCTACATCGTAGAATGTATTACATCTTCTCTCTATTTTTTCCACCAGGTCAAGAAGACTACGATCGATTACGGCCCCTGAGCTACCCACAGACGGACGTGTTCCTAGTGTGTTTCTCCGTAGTAGCTCCCTCGTCATTCGAAAACGTGAAAGAAAAGTGGGTCCCAGAGATTACCCACCACTGCCAGAAAACGCCGTTTCTCCTGGTCGGTACTCAAATCGACTTGCGAGATGAACCATTAACTGTGGAGAAGCTCGCGAAGAACAAGCAAAAGCCCGTGTCAAACGAACAGGGTGAAAAGCTCGCGAAAGAGCTCAAAGCTGTCAAATACGTCGAATGTTCAGCCTTGACGCAGGTGTGTTTTCAGTCTGTCCACTCCGAAAATTTTGCAAAAGCGCTCGTGTAACGAATGAGGAATGAAAATTAACCATTGTGGGTTTCATTTCGGATGGTTCTCGACTTTTAGTAACCAACGCGCTTCCCTCCTGCATGTCGTGATCTCTGTCGTCCACTGACCTCAGATTCTTTTTTATAACCTAACCTAATCAAATCCGTTGAAGATAACGTCCGCGTTGGACCAGGGCTTGAGAGTTATACTCTGAATGCCAGACATCTTCAGTAACTCGATCGGCATATATCTATGGAGGGATATATTATAATGCTCCGTATGTCGTGAGAGCGGTTTCGACTCTCCGCGGCGTTCTAGAGCGACATACCTTTTTTTTTTAATCCCGCGAAGGATTTTTGAGTGGATTGTTAAATGATTGTTGAACTTTTCAGAAAGGGCTGAAGAACGTGTTCGACGAGGCGATTTTAGCAGCGTTGGAGCCGCCAGAGCCAGCGAAGCGTAGGAAATGCGTCATCTTGTAACGTTGTTGCGCTTCAGGTCCCGTTTGAGGAAGGATGAGCGTAATTTATCCAGGAGGTGTATAACGCGACACGATCTTCCTCGTTTTGTTTCTCTGTCCGCACTCAGACGAGAAGAATATATATTTTTACTATTGGAAGGCTTATTGTCTTCAAGCTCGCATCATCCCATTAACCGTTCAGTTCTTCCCCTTTATTGGTGCTTGATTTTGGATCGTTTGGATTGAAGCATCGTGGTTTCACTGAGCGAGTTTGAACGGTTCGAGAAAGCAGTAGATTGACCATGATTTGCAGCGACTTGGAATGTCCCAACTTGATGCAACTTTGTACGGGGATTCAGTTTTATTCGTTTGGGTTGAGTTCCCGCTGGAAATCGTTTTTCCTGAGTATTTAAATGAAACAAGTACAGCGCAATGCGTTTAAACTCGAATTGTGTTAGCGTGATCCATTACCGCGTGGATTGTATTTTTAAACGTGCGTATCGATTATGTTCGTTTCAAGTCGCTGTAAATTGAAAATTTTTATTTTCCGGCTTTTTATTTCGGCGAATCGCTGGAAATGGAACACGTGAATTCCCATACGAATGAAATTTGTGTCGTCTCGCTCAGTGTAATGTTGGTTCGATTCGAAGGTTCGGGGTAAAAAAAGTTTTTTTAGCTATCTTCGGCTCCGCTTCTCGGCATTACTGTGTCCACAATCCGAGGTTTTATTTTCTCGATTCGTGATATTAATTCATCCGATTTGGATCGAGTGGGGGAGAATATTTTATCCGCGTGAATGCGTTGTAAATTGTTGGATCGAGGATATTTTGTATCCGTCGGTATGAGTGGGCTTCGGGCTGCGTGAGTCGTTTTCTTCCGCTTAGTCTTTTTGTAGAATGCGTCTTGTCTGCAAAACAGTTTGGGGGAGAGTTTAACCACGATCGACCGACGGTGACTTTGGATCATTTCAGGAAGCGAGTGTGCGATCGGAAGTTTTAGGGATGCGAAAAGTAATTTATCGGCTTGGTTCTTTTCAATTCCGGCGTCACCACCTCCTCTGCAAACTCGGGCTTTCTCGACTTTCCTTCGCCCCCTTTCCACCATCGCACGACATTTGTAACTTGCATTCTAATCGAATTTTCGGCGAAATATTTGCTTGCTTGCTTTACCCGGATGAGCTGAAATTACGAGTTTTTGTTTGTTTTTTTTGAAGCGAAGTCACGAGTTCAAGTTACCTGAATTCGCGTGTCGTTACGTTTCACTTTCCGAGATTTGCGTAGTTGCAGGAAGAAAAGAAAAATCTGTAAGGAAGAAGGGAAGCCGATGTCATCTTGAGGAAGGTGTTATTCTCGTACTTGAAAAGAACCATCCGGTTTTTGTTTCCTCCTCGTGTCCCCCGCCCGAAACAAAATTCCCTTTGTGTCTCTTAAGGGGGAAATGAAGAAAACGAAACATCGTTCCATGAGTTTCCTTTTTTATCGAATTGTTGATGCAGAGATCTTTACCGGGCTATTGATGGACTATCTACAAAATGTGTTCATGAGATGAGGCGTGGGTTTTTTCATTGCAGGGTTGCGGGGAATGATCGAATCGCTGTGTGTTGTGTGATTCGTTAACGCGCGAGAAGCATTGGAAGATCAAGTCTTAGTGTGGAGATGGAGGACTGCAAACCGCAGATGAAGGACAAATCTGGTGAGTGTTTCAAAATTGTATGCAATTTGTGATTGATCTCGATTGGGGTGAGTGGATTATTTGTGCATCAGGCGGAAGCCCGGATTTTTTTCGCGTTTGTAGACTTCGTGATCTGTCCCGTGTGATGTGAGAAGCAGTCATTTGGAGAATGCTTCATTTTCTCATAATTTTAGGGCATAATGTCCCCTCTGATTGACTCATCGTCTGATATTGTTATCGTGAATCTCTTCTTTCGTGACAGTGAGAGTGGTTTTTTTTTCTTTTTAGAATTCGATGTGATGCGTTGAGATTGGTTTTGTCAACAGCTGTGGGAGATTTTCTGGAAGTCCTGTTGGGCTGTTGCTTGTGAAGAGGACAGAGCTTCTTAAAAATGATCCGATTTACCGTTGGAAGTTGAGATATTTTTAGAATAATTCCTGTCTCCACAGAATTGTTGCTGGGCCCTTTTTTCAAACGAGGAAGTATCTTGACGCTCAAGAAGTACAGCATTTAACTTTCCTACTTTTCCGAAATTCGAGAATTAGTCTTAAATTATTTACTAGCTGAACTTGCATCCCGGCTGGGAATTTTAACATTACTTGAAATGAAGTGTGATGAGGCTTTTTTCTTCGTGATCCATGTAAGCCTTCCACTCGTGTCGACTTTGGTAACGAACCTTTAAGGAAAGGAGATCGCGTGTTCGAAAATTTCGTGTTGAGCTCAACTGTTCTTGTTTATTCCGTTGTTTAGTTGATTCCTGTTGGGGAAAACTTTTTGATCATTCGAAGAAAAGACACTCAATGTCGATGTGAACAACTACTGTATTCCAAGACGCGCGTTAATTCTTCAGTCCTTCCGATGGTATTCGTGAGAACTTCGAATCTTGAGAAAAACGTGAACTTATCGACAGGTTAATGCTTGTAGAAAGCTCTATTCGTGAGATTAAGAAATTTCTGTGTTTACTTTCCTCGCAATATGGTAAAAGTCCGTGGTATTGAGTGCAGCAGTTCACGTTTTTAACCTCGTGATTAATGTTACGACAACTGGGTCTATTATAAAAAAGGATTAGTTCTCGGTACCTTCCCGATTTAAAAGCCGGAATCTTTCGTTTTCTTTGTGTTCCAGATTGTGCGTGAATCCATCACTCAACTCTATGTAAAGATGTGAGGAAAGACGATTTCATGTAAAATTAGTGGACTGCGAACTACTGTAATGTACCATTTTGTAAGGAAATCAGAAGACTAATTTCCAAGACCCAGGTAAGGTACAATTTTTCTCGAGCAGATATCAAGAAAACTGCGTCATATACTGGACTGTAGTTGTTTAGTTGTAGTGCAGTAATTTATTCCTTGTGGCATGCTGTATCATTTCAGCGTGTGTACAGTAAAATCTTGTAACACATTTTTCCGTGTGACAAACTTTCTCAAGTCCTGTCATAAAGCCTATGGGGTACATTTTGAAACTATCTCATTATAACAAACTTTTCAATTTCAGTATAAAAAATGTTTTTAAGGAATTTTCAATGGATTCTCTAGGTAGAAATTTCTTGATCAAGACAGGCACAGTCGAAATTTTTTTTATACCAAATGTAACAGGTTCTTGCAGCATGGATGGAAGATGTAATGAATGACAAACCTGCTTCCACATGGTTCCACTTATCATCCTCCTAAAATGAAGAGATTGTTGCAATTCGTGGAATGTATGCTTGAATTTGATGATTTTTTCCAGTAGATCAGATCAGTTTTTCAAACAATAATTTAAAAATGAGAGAATGCCAGGAAAGCAAGACGTAATTTATGATAGGCGGGTCTGATGTTAAAAAATTTTCTACTTACTGAACTGTATTAATTTTGAAACATCTCGTTATGAAGGATTATTCAGTCTAGAAAACTTTTTTTAAGTCCCCAAAAGCTTGTTGTGATGAGATTTTACTGTGAAATTTTCTGTTGGAAAATGACAGATTTCATCATGCAGGTGGACTCTCTCTCTCTTACGATTTTATGTGTACTGTTGTACTGTATAACGAATTCCTTTGGTCCCAAATTGTTCTTTGCCCATCTTAGAAGGGTTATCTACGAATAATTTTGTCTGGTCCCCTGGATTTCGTTGTAGAAGATGAAACTCCACCTGTACTGTGCTTGAAAAAGATTGTCTTCGTACATTTCCAGGATGGGCGAGAGAGCGAAGGAAGCAGGCGAGGATAGAAGGCAGGCCGTACGTGAACAGCAAAGGGAAGCTTGTGGAGGCGCGTCAGATGGGCTCTGACTGCGGCTGCCGTCGGAAGTGTTTCGCCAAGGTGCCCTTGACTGTGCGAGCCGCCATTTTTAACGAGTTTTACCGCCTCGGCAGCTACGACGAACAAAACGCCTACCTGTACAAATTGATTCGTCGAGGGAAACCGTCTCGACAGCGAGGAAAGGACCCGGCGAAGGCGCGAGGCAACTCGTATCAGTACTTTGTTGGCGTTCACGGTGTAGACGTGCAGGTATTTTTCTCGTGTGACTCGTTCAGTTCGTTTGATGAACATGATGGAAAACCAATCCCACCTCTGAGAATTCAACCGGGATAATCCCGGGGGAAAAGTCCCAAATTTCTCGATCGGTATTTCGTGTGGTTTCTTTTATTTTTTTTTAAATTGGAACTTTCGTGTGCTACTGTTTTGACCTAGTTTTGGGGGGGGGGAGAGTAGAAAATTCTTCTGTTCCATTTCGAGGTCGGATCTGTGTGACCTGGGCAACTCGGGCTTGTGAAAAGGTGCGGACCCTCATGAGTTTACAAACTTGATTGGTTCTCGGGGAAAGTTTCGTCGCGGAATTTGATTTTCCCATAGACTTAGATGAAGAATCAATTAATCTGTTCCGCCCAAAATTCAATTTAAAATAGAATAAAAAAGGGCAGGACGCATACATCACTAGGATGTCACTGTGGCATTGTGTGTGTGTTGACAATGTCCAATGGGTTGGATGGAAGCCTGACTAATGATAACATCCCTAGAAAAGCTTTACATGAAGAAAAGCGTTCACGTGTGAGTTGAGTTGGATAACTGTCATCAGGGAAATGAAATGTTGATTTTTACAATGTTGTAACTGAAGAACGAATTCAGCAGTTGAACAGTAGAAACAACTAGAAGAATCTGTTTGAAAGTGCCTTGGTTCTCATCTTCTCACTGCTGGGTATCATTTGTTCCATCGATTCTGCTCAAACCATGGAACATCTTTGGCACATCCTCAGTTATACTCACGTAATGTCAAATAAACTTTTAAAATGCTGTGCAAGCTTTTGATCTGCATGATATTTTTTTCTGCTTGATTTTTTCATTGGAATCGTAATTAGATCGTACCGTAACAAAAATGTTATCCTGAGAACAGAAGTTTGTTAACCGAAACATTTGTTGACCGAGGGTCCACTGTATTTTCTCTGCTACGTGAGTGTTCAGCGGGAATTTATGTACCATTTCTTTAATCAAATCCTTAGGCTGTGAAATTTTTATAAGAAATCACGTGAACGCATTTCGCACCTACCCTATTTTTCGAGATTCGATTCAGGATCCGAACTTGCGGAAGTACTTTTCATCACATTTTGGACTTTTCTCTTAATTTTAAAATGTGCTGTACTTTTTCGGAATGTGGGAAGGAGCCCTCCACTTTCGCTTAGAAGTTACATTTCCGAAAGTGGGCCATAACGCAAAGTTAGTCGCACATTCTTTGAGTCGGGGTTCAAGCTTTTCCGCCAAAAAAAGGGTTGTGGTCTCTCTGTCTAGGCGTGTTACGAATGAGAAATTTTAAAAGTAGTTCTGAAGCACCGTACAACCACTCGTAAGGAGTGGAAGCATCCCGTTATCCGCGGTGTGTTGGTTTCCATTCGGATACTGTACTTCTTTCAGTTTGGAAAGGTGGGACTAATGCACCAAGAAGTTGATTTCGAGGGAATTTGATCCATGGAAGTAATAATTGGATTTTTTTATTACAGTTCTGCATCGAATCTTCTTCAGAAATTTAAATTCTGAATGTTATCCAAAACAAGTCACGCAGCTAAATTTTGTGTGCCAAATTTATGCCGTATCCTCCTTTTGCTAAGTTATTTCAAGGTGAAGAAAAATACGGTATGGGAAACAGTGAAGAGAGATATTCCGGGGGGAAAAAACCATGAACGAGGAGAGTAATTAATTTTGGTCTAATTTTTTCGCTGATGGTTTTCGAGTGTGAAAGATGCCTGATTTGTACTTCCTGCTTCTCGGAAGAAATTTTACCGGACACCTGAGAATTTCACTTACGCAGTTCGAATGGAGATCTCGTGTGAGCAAGGAAACCGTTACCTCGATCAATTCACTTGGTTTCCCCGCATTAAAAAATGAATGATTTCCCACGAGCTCGACTGTGTACTTACAATTCAGTGCAGAAAATAATTTTGAAAAAAGTGTTAGTCAGCGGGCTTCTTTTTCCACAGCAGTGATTACCAACGGAAAACGGCATTTTCTCCGCATCATCCAGAAAAATGAACTTATGCGCTCATGATTCAAAATTTGGAAGCGGAAACCGCGAGGATTTCATAAGTGTTTTTGGTCACATAATCGATACCGTTTCATTAATGCGCTTGCTCGTTTTAAAACATTTGAGTAGGATGCTTGATGTGGTAATCTGGCTCTTAATCTGATGTTTTTGAAAGAATTTTTCATCATTTTCGGTTGTAACCATGAACGATTTTTCCGAGTAAAATGCTGATACAGTATCACATAAAACCAGGAATGCATCAAGTTTTCATGAGTGCCTGAATTACTTCGATGAATGCCACGAACTTCTTGCAAATATCGATTTTTTTAGAAAATGTATGCGTGGGCAATGGAAGATACAGTCGAACCTCTTCTAGGGACCAACAGAAAAGTTTGAGTCGGGACAGTTATAATGCTCTTTTTTAAGAGAAGGGCTTGAAAAAATAATCGACTTATGAAAGTTCGAGTTATCGAGGGTGGACTGTATTGACCTTGAGAAAACCTTTGGCAGTTACTCTATGATTTGAATTCATCTTGTTCTAGGTTTGTCGGGAAGCATTCGCGCACATCCACGCTGTGTCAGCGCATAAAATCCGGATTCTCTGTCGTAAAATGGAAAGGAATGTGGCGTATCCGAGGGACGAACGAGGAAAACACGACAACCGGAAGAAGACCCCATCAGAAACGCTGAACAAGATCAGAAGTCACATCCGGTCGTTGGTGGAATCCGGTCGACTGCAAGAATTTGTTCGGGAACCCGCGGGTGCGGGGATGAACATTTGCAAGATGTGGAAGGATTTCTTGAAACATTATGACGCACGATTTGCTGAATACGTGATTAGCAAAAAGTCTTGGATCACTTTGAAGACTGGCGAGATTGTCGATCCGTTGGCCAAGCACTGGATTTATTCGAAGGTAAGTTTCGCCATTTCTTTTTTTTTTTTTCATGGCGAGAAATGTATTTTACAGTACTTGAAAATATTTTGGTAATTCCGTGGAATTTACGTCATTCGGTTGGTCAAAGATCCTTCGAATCCTTCTTGGATGAGATTATATTTTTGAATATGAGAACTCCAGAAGAAATGCAATTCCTGCTTATACACATGAGGAGGCCACATTTGATCTTCTGCCTTTCTTGTGTCAATGATTTCCTTCGACAAAATAATTTTGTCAAATTACTCCGTCAACGGGCACAGGATCAGATTTTAATCCTGTAAAATGGCATCTTGAAATCTCTCGTTAATAATTCAAGTATGAAATTAATCATATTGAATGAGAATCAATATAAACTGTTATTTTTCACTATTTCGTGTGTGTCGAATGACGTCAAATTGCTATCTATATTTATTTTCCTTTATGAAGAATTATTCTCGCCAGATTTGGAATGTTATTTGTATCAAAATGTTTACCTTTGTCCTTTGACGAATTAATTTGACTAAATCATCTTGTCAAAGGGGAACTATCGACATGAGAAGCATCAGAAATGTAGAAAAGAAAATGTGGCCTCGTCACGAGTTGAAGCAGAAATTTTACTTCTTCTGGATTCCTCGGCCGATTCTCCCGTTCAGAAAAATCCTCTTGCTCAAAAAGGATTTAGTGGGTGGTCAACTGAATGATCTTCGACATATTTGAGCTTAAAGAAATTATCCTTTCGTATCAAAGTTGGAGGCTTAATTTTTTCAAGGGTAAACCGAAAAAGCAACTGCGACCACTTTCAACTAAATTAGGTTTGATGTACTGTACAGTAATCACTGTACATTGAAAATGGATCATTGCCCTGTTCGGTGTGACTGTGTGTCATAATATTAGTTACAAAAGGTGAATTGTGTAACTAAAAAGGATGGAAAATATTGAGTGGATCTCCTATGGTTTTGTTGGCTTGCGGTAGGAATGCATTCTATTGGTCTTCTCCGGGGTTTTGTTGGATTCAACTGGGTCATTTTACAGAATCCCATTTTGGCGAGCGAAGCTAACGTAAAACGATCTTCATTGTAGATAGTTTTCCAGTAGATGTGTTCTTATGTGGATTTTTGTGAAAAGCAAATGAAACATTGTCAAGTTCATTCTTCAGGTGTTCCACGAAGAGTTCGAAGAAGATGTGAACAAAGCTTTGTCGCAGGAAGCAGAGCAATTTCCGCTTCCCGAAGCGGAGGAAATCTTGGACGACGGCGTGGAATCAACACAAACCCACGTGGAAGCATGTGTGTCTGATGTCCCTTCGAGCAGCATTGCTCCTGTCAATTTACTCATGGAGCCGAGCATGCAGGCACAAATTTTGCAAGCATCTCCAGACCAGTACGTTGTTGTGCCAGTGACGATCACGCAAATGCCATTGTCCTGCTTTGCCAACATCGTGGTTGCTGACTTTCGACCCTCTTTCATTGCCTGAGACGATTGATCATATTGTGTCAGATTTTTTTTTTCTCGCTGCTCGGTACAAATTTTAATGCGTTTCTGGCTTTGTTGGCAAGGCTGCGTAATTTACCGATGCGTGGATATGATCTCCTCACGTAGGCACTAAAGGTTGAGCACAAGCAGAACAACCATTCGCCTTGTTGGTATATTTCTCAGAGCCCTGGTTTTTCTTTTTGTGGTACGTGAGCGTGAGTTTCAGTGAAAGACGATTTTTCGTGCATTTAAAATGTCAAAATGAAAGTAGGCTCCCTTCTTGTCAATGGGGAATCCAAGTATGGCACGCTTATTGTTGTTGAAAAAGGTGAGGGGATTTTCACTTTTTTTTTCCTTGTGTAGTGGCTTTGAATGCTGCTTTTCTGTGCTTTTTTCAGTCAGTAATGAAATTGTAGGAGGCTGGTGGAGAGAAGTAATTCTTGAATCTTCATACTGAAGAGGGAAGTTTTGAATCCGAAAATCATTGAAATTTGACACTGGCGTCTAGTATCCGTGCAGTTCTCTGAAAAAAATTCTGTAAATTATTGAAGATAGTAGAAACAGAAAGAAAAATTGTCTTGTGTGAATCCATCTGGACGTACAGGAAGCGTAAACGATGTTTTTCCTCTGTAAGAACTGAGATGTCGTTTAAAGGATAGTGAGACCGACATGTCTTCTGATGTGGAAGACCTCTGGGAATAAAAGATAGTGAGAGCGGGAAACAAGCTTGCAATCATGTCTTCCATGAGATTTGCGAAAGAAAGAAATCGTTCAGATGATGAACGCGTAGTTGAGCGGGGGAGGTTTTGAGTATTATTTACGGTGCAGTGTTATCGAGTCGTTAGAAGAGTGAGATTTCGCAACCTCATTGATTCTTTTTTTGAGTACCAAAATTGTTTCGAGTCATTGCATGATCTCAGTGTTGCGTTGGACCTTGTTTGCTTCGCAGTGTAGTAGAACTCCGTGTGCTGCTTTTTTTTTAACGTTGTGTATCGTGATGTGAAACGGAAGTAAACATGGAAATGTAAGGCCATGGATTTTCATTTTGCTGCCGTCTATTCCAGTGGCCCCTGACCTTTTCAGGCCTGTGGACTGGCAAACTTTCATGAAATTGTTTGCAGACTGGCAGATTTCCGAAACATTCTTCTGCAGACTGGTTGAGTTCCATAAAATTTTGGAAGACAAAAAACATTTGCTTGAAAGACAAATATTGATAAGTTCATGTTTTTTTATTCAGAACCAAATGAAGCAACTATGGTGTCATGTCTTCAAAAAATTACAAAGGTGGGTCAGAAAGGTTCCTCAGAATGAAAAAATTGAGATATTTCATTGAAGCTGGTGAAAGTTGGTGTATAGTGTTGTTCAGAGAGAAGCAAACTTTTATTTCTTCATCCAAGAATGTCAACTGCTATTGTCTTTTGAGAAATTTTGTATAAAACAAAAAACTTCATGGATACTTCTGATGAATTTATTATGCACAATAAAATGTCCTATGGGCTGGTAAAATACTTCTGCAGACCATGGGTTGGCATCTTGGCAGACACTGGACTCCTCTATTCTGGGCAAAGCTTCTGATTTTTCAGACAGTTTGAATGAATTGAAAGTGTTGTTAAACATGAGTGGTTTGAGTGCAGTGCTGTGTCATCCACACATGTGGGAAAAGGCAAAGATTTTTTCTTATGACCTCCTTTATGTCGGAGCTGCGGTTGTTCACAACTTTTTTTGTTCATTTTTGAAGAGTTGAAAAGAAACTTTCCAATATTGAAACCTATCATCCTATGGCTGTTTCAACACACAGAAGGTAATTCAACAGGAGAAGGTCTCATAGCCTTACTGATTCATAGTACAGAAATTTCAAACTAGCTGGAGCAGTATACATGTTGGTGGACTCTCTTTACAACAATATCATGTCTGCAATGATTTTCTGTGTCTAAGGAATCCATTTTTTGACCCAGAGCACTGTTATCCCTTTGATCTAGGGATTCTCTGCAATAATTACTGTGCAGAAGTACTGTAACTTATTCATCTGAACCCCGCTTAACGAAACATTCCCCAAGAAAACAACAATAGCGTCTCTTATCTTTACATACATGCGACACTTCTCAAATCGACATTTCGTTCATCACTTATTGAGTTCTGAAATTAATTATTGGAAAATATTTGCTTATCAGTGCGTGCATTTATCGAAATTTCTTCGTGCATATTTTGAAGAAAAAAAGACAATCTTCCCAATGAAGCTGTTCATATGTTGGAGATGTTTCTGTTATCTTCTCTCAGCATGCAACCTGTTCGTCCCCACTCTTTCAGTGATGGAACATGTCGTCTTTCCTACAACGGATTGGTGTCTGTGTTATGCAGCCAACGCAGGGAGGAAGATAATTCGATGACGTATATGCAGGAAATGATGGTTGCCGGAAGTTTCACCATGGACTAAAATCGCTGCGAGCAGTACTGAATAATGTTAATTTTTCCGTGGAAACTGTCGTAGTGTTATAGGACAAATATATAAACTTGAATGATGATGTATATACATCAGTACTGTATCAGCTTTTAGGATCAAAAATGAAATTTGGTTAACACAATCACAATGCAGGTGAAATTTAACTGCAGTTAACAAGAACCAAGAGGTGAAAGAGTGGTTTGAAAGATTGATGAGTCACAAGATAAATAATAAAGTATTTCTTAGTGCATTTAATTGACATCATGTCCTTGTATATAAGTCAAATTTCAAGGGACCAGCAAAAAATTTCAAGTTAAGAAGGTTTCATACAATGAGTTTGGGAAAGAAGCATTTTTGCTGCACAGGAAAAATAAAAGCACATTGCAGGAAATATTATTTTGTAAATTGTAATCTTCTGATGCATGGGCCATGAATTGTCTCTTAAATAATGAGACTGGATGCTGAATTTGGACATTTCATGACAAGAGTTCATTTCATTGCTCAATTGGTATTTCATTTCTTCAGTTCTCTAAAAAAAACATTACTTTTCATACAATATTTTCATTTTTCATGTGAAGAAAAAAAAAGCCAGAAGGCCTTAGAAAATTTGACTCACAGCAGATATATACTCCTGGAGAAGAAATCCTTGAGTTAAAGAGGTTTTTAATGCATCCTTTCTAAAAGGGAATGCAGACAGGGACTTATTGAAACAATTGACTTACTATACAGAGACATGAGCCATAAGAAGGCTCATCAACTGCGTTTGTGTGTGTATTCAGAGTACTGTACAATAGATATACTGTACCACATTTTCTTCACGTGACATGTTTTGGTGTGATGAAGTCCATAAAAATTGAAACATGCACTGGTTTTCCGGAAGAAAGTACGCAACATGTAGTTCTCAGAGAAATAACAGCAAAATTTGCAGACGGGTAAGCAACAGAAACATATTTCTTAAATGTCAATAACATCCACTTCTTACACTTATGCCATTTGAACCAAAACTAAATTCCATCAATAAATTCTACTGAAATTGGACAAGCACAAGTCTTATTGATTTTGTTGACTTTTGAGCGTAGAACCAAAATTTCCTAATTCATCCAAGAATATTTGAAATAAGCCCCAGCAGAAACGCTAATTCTCAGGAACGCTAATGCGATTTGTGTTTCTGGTTAGTCATGCTATGATTCAACAATCATTTCTCTTAGCTCAAGGGACACAGAACCAACAGGGGGGGCATTCAACTTCAGCAAGAACAGTCACAAAAAAAGTATATCATTCGAAATTTTTGATGAAACTTGTGCCCTTTTTAAACAGCATCTTCCTCACGCCATCAATGCAAAAAACTCCAGCAAGCCAAACGCGTCCTGCCAACATTATTTTGCAGCCGATTCAATGAGTGATGCAAGTCGATCGGGGAAAGTTATGATCGACAGTTTTATCACAAGTACCACACGCTTCGCACGCGTGCATCCCACCAATCGCATGAAAGAATGCAAAGAACGTCCGAAACATACTTTCGATTTAATTTAAATCGAATTGAAGAAAACTCAGGATGGGAACAATCGATTTTGAATACAGTGAGTCACTTCGAAGCAAATCAACAAACAATTGCAGTATTAGTTTCGATCACCAACATTCTCGAGTTTCAAAATCATGCCGAACCCTCATTCCATCCAAATGCAACAACCGAGGTTCAAAACATACGCAAAAATATATATTCGTGCAAACACAAACTCGTTCCGAGAACATGACTGCATAAAACAAGGAACACGTTGTCCAGCCTCATCTTCAAGTACTGTACTGTACTAAATTACACACAATTATTGCATCAGGAATGCTCGGAACGAAAAACAAAACAAACAAAAAAGCTGACAGGTCATCCACTGGCGCAAATTTTTCCTCTTCTTTTTGGAAAGCACACGCTTCAAAATTGCAAACTAAAAAAAAATAACTTGCACAAATTGAAGGACTGTACTCATGTCACTCCCAGGTACTCGAATTATCATCGAGGCTATCTTCGAAAGTGCCTCGGATTTTCTGAGAACATATAGCCTAGCCTTTTCTCTATTAAAAAAAAAAGAAAATTGAAGAAAAAACCCTTTCCAGAAGACAGACAAGAATCGTACATACACTGGTATCAGAAAATGTCCATCAAACAATTACACACAAATGATAACAAATTCACAAAAAAGATGAGAGGATCAAAGCTCAAAATACGAATCACTGCATGGGCTGCAACGACCTGTGCTTCCGCAGCCTTCTCCACTCTCCAGTGTTGTAGTTCATCTGGAAAAGGGTTTCCACAGACACAGGGACAAGTGCACCATTTGCCTGGCGCATCGTTTCCTGCTCTTCGCTCAGCTTGATGGTAACAATGTTTCCCAGATGAGGACACGGATTCTCTGGAAATATTAAAATTAAAATCGTTGCCAGAAATAAAAAAAAGCAACATTTTCCATTTCATTCATCCATAAAATAGATTTCGATCTGCCGTATTTACTCGAGTAACACGCGCACCAGCGTTTTCCGATCAAAATTTTCTATAATATGTTTTTTCTCAAGTAAGACACGCAAACCATTTTCACTGACTCAAGAAATGTTCAGTACAACATTCTCAGAAGTAAAACCATCCAAAGTTCAATTTAGACAAGGAATGATCTCAAATTCAACAAAATTTCAATTATTTCCATTGCGAATACGTTTTCCCGTTAAAATTGGTCCATAATTTACAATTGAAATCAAATACATTGCAAACCTTAACTGTAAAACTTGTTTGAAACAGCTAAACCCATCTATGACGCGCACCCCCATTTTTCCTCTCAATTTTGAGAAAAAAGCTGCGCATGGTACTCAGGTAAATACAGATAGCCAAACATGCGTCCATGTTTTTGCCAGATGAAAGTTCACCTCTTGAACCAGCCATGAATCCCAGAATAAGAGCTTTCTCTGGTCTTGTGACCCGATTTGCAGTGCGAAACATTTCCTGAGCTTCAGCCATTTGTTCCCTCTGCAAGTAAAACAAAAAGGTGTGAAACAAATTTAAAATTTACTTCTGAAACGTTTAGAAATAACCTTTGCTCCAGATAAATTAGACACTGCACTGGGAAGTGATATTATCATGTTTTAAGTTTCCAAATACAATGGAATCTCATCAAATCAAACCCACATGGACTAGAAACAAACTTGTTATAACATATGCTTTTTCAATATTGCGATTCATTTAATTATTTCATTCAATTGAGAAATTCAGAACACATCCGTAACGTCTTTTTTTCTTTTTTTGCAGAATCTTCCGCATCAAGATTATCATGGTTTCAGTATTCATATACTTAACAGTAAAATATCATTAAAAAATCACCGAGACCAGGAAAACATTTGTTGTAAAACAGTGTTTCAAATTTTCAATCCATGAAATTGATTGAGTCAATTGACAAATTCCAAACTCATCAGCGATGTCTTTTTTCTCTTTTTCCAGAATCAACTGCATCAAAGATCTTAAGCTTTTCTCTAGGGTAAAATGTTGTCTTTTCCTCTCTGCCATATTTGTGAAAATAAATTTCTTATATGAAATGGCTAAATTTGAAAATGCATTTAGAAACAATTTTAAAAACGCAACTCAAAAAGGCATTAGAAAAAGTAAATTGATCATCACATTCTCTCCACAAATGTTATTGCCAACTAACCGTAAGTGATAAGCCCTTTTTGGGCGGCGGAGGAGCAGGAGTTTGCTGAGCAGGCGGCTGAGTTAGAATCGTGGCGACGGTATTGGGTGAGCCAGCAGGGAATTGCACGGTTCTGACGCCAGTTTGCATAGTCTGGACAATCTGGGCAGGAACCAGGGCCAGGTGTTGAGTCCCATCTGGCCCAGCTGCCACAGCAACTTGACACAGCTGTTGCTGTTGAACAATTTGCGCTCCAGACGGACCAGCAGCCTGCATAGGTTGCAGCGTGGCATACGTAATTGTCTGAACATTCCCTGATGATCTAGCTGGTGGAACAATGGCCTTTGGATGTTCCAGGACACCCTACAGAGGACGGAGACGAATACAAATTGTAAAATAAAATCTCGTTACAACCACTTCCCAGGGACCAAAGAAAACATTAGTTATAAAAAACCAATTCACTGTGAGATTCTTGGTTCTTCTAGCACGTGGTACTGAATTTCAGACAGGAATCAGGTAAAAAAAATGCCAAAAAGAACTTCCAGAACAGATATGAGATGAATAACCATCATTTACAACTTCTTCGGATGACATTTGAAGACAGCTCAAATAATAAAATAAAATTCCCTTATTTAAGACATTCCGTTTCTCACAATTCCTAGAAACATTAGACATTGGAGCTTCGTCCTTCCTGCAATGCTAAATTTTCTATGCAAGAAGATTAGCATTAATAGAAAGTAAAATCTCGTCACAACAAAGCTGCTGGAAATAGCAAAAACTTCATTATATCGAGAAATGCGTTGTAAACCGATTTAAATGACAATATTGATATTGGGCAGGAACCTGGAAATTACTTCAATGTAGCCAATAATTCGATATAATGAGATTCATTGTGATAAGATTCTACTACATTTGAAGATTTTCATTCACGCACAAGTTTGTTTTTCCCATGTTGTGCAAATCATTACGAATTGTCTATGTGGCCCCTACACACACAATCAAAGCAAAAATTCGTAATACTGAGATTAGAGAGGAAAATTAGTTCGCTACAAAAAAATAATTATAACATTGACACTAACGATAAATGCTGGGACCAAAACAAAAATTCAAGAAAAAATTCGATAAGGCAAAATTTTCTACTGCGTTACATGAAAGAAATTGAAATCTTCAGACACTTTTGAAAATGAGGTAAAATTTGGTTCATTCACTCCAGTAATATAGTATTGAGTACTTCCGTAGTTGCTCCTTCATCACGGAACATCTACTCCATTCAAACACAAATTATCAATATGGTACTTGCCTCATGCTGAAGTTGATCGGGGTCTTCCGGAGTTGCTTGTAGCATCTTGCCCGTCACTGGTACTTTTTGCGCATGAATATTGGCTGTTTGCGTCTGTATTTCTCTTCTCAAAATGGCACTAGGCTGCTGCTCAATGACACTCGCCTGATACTCCAAAACCTGATGCTTCAAATTTTCCGTTTCATAATCCACTACAGCAGATGGGGAAACTACAGCATCCGCAGTTTCCATTGCATCCGGATCCGTCTCATGCCGCATAGGAGAGTGAGTAGAGAATTTTTGATCTGAAAAGAAGAAAATTGCCAAATTTTAATATACAGTCGAATTTTTTTACATCGAATTTCGAAGGACCATAAAAAAAATTCGAATTACGGAGGTTCGACTGTGTATTCGACCATTTTTGTTGTGGAAAGAAATATAATTACCGGAAATTGTAATTGATGACATTTTAGGCCTGAAAATGCTTCTTGAATGAGTTGCTAGGATGCTGTAGTTGGAGGCAAGGGTTCATTCGCTCAGTTTAATCTTTCACTTCCGTTCAAAGCACATACAATTTCATTTTCAATGCTTTTCCTATTTCCCGTGTTATTAAAATACAGTACAGTATTAGTTGAAATGCCTCCAGAAAATTCGCGTTACGGAGGTTTGAGGACGAAAGCCGTTGAGTTAGGGGAGTTTTTAATGCATTATTTCCAAAGGATTTCACACAGGGACTTGAAAAATAAATTCGACACATGGGGGCAATAGACTTGCGGAGATTCAGGTTATCGGGGTTCAACCGTGATTGAGTTTAGCCAATATCGCGCAAAATTATGCGAAAACAAACTTGTTTGGCACTCACCCATTGGCTCGGGGGAGGCAGGATGAAAAGGCCCCACAGTAGCGTCCTCACTTTTCACTAAATTCACTGCGTAGTCCGGAATTTTCTGATCAGCTGCAGAAACTGAATTTTTTGTCGGAGATGTCTGCGGGTTGGTTTTGTCAGAGGCGTCCGTTTCAGTCGCTTTCTTCCCCTTCTTTTTCGCAGAACTTGAAGGATTCATCATTCCCGGTCCGTGCAAATGTTCCGTGATTTCAAGCAATTTGATTCCTCCTTCCTTGGGTCCCGCAAGTGAACGAACACCCACTCTTGCAGAAGGACGACCGAAATTGGACAAACTCTTGCTGGGAATACCCTTCAAAGGTGCTGAAAAGACAGATACGACTCTGATATTGACTCTGCGACTTTCCATCCCATCGAACTATTTCCACCCGAATTTAAACTTACAGTTGAATTTTGAGAGACCAGAAAAAAAATTGAGTTACGGAGGTGTCGAGTTGTGGAAAGAAGCCTTTTTCTTGAGGGAAAGAAACAATTACATTAAATAAGATTTTGTGAAATTCTAGGCTTTAAATTACTTCTTCAATACGTTGACAGGACGCTGAAGTTAGAGGAAAGAGTTCATTCGCTCACTTCGTCTCTCCCTCCTTTCAAAACACATAGTTAATTTTTTTGCTATTCTCTTTCCTGCGTGAATAAAATAATAACCGAACGGCCTCCAGGAAATTCAATGGATGGAGGTTTGAGGACGAAATATTTCGATTTATCGGAGTTCAACTGTAATGAATTTGGTTCAGTTTTTATAACGTAAAGAAGGTTTTCTTCAGTTTGAAATGGCTAACCTCGATCAGGTACGAGTTTGAAGCAAAACTTTCCAAGCTAACAAAGAAGTGACTCAAGATCAAACTGTAGACATAGAAAAAGACTCACTCGTGTCCGTCAACTTCCTGGGCATTCCACGAGAACGTAAAGGTACTGTGGGTACGGGGTGTTTCCGTATCTGATTAGCAGCCTCAATGCTCTTATTTAATAATTCTGCACGTAAGGCAGCAGCTTTCGGCTTGCGTTTCAGTTTGAAATGCGCAGTTGGTTGCTCACACGGCCCATAAAGCTCATTCAAGGCATTGGGATTCAAGAATCTCGACTCCAAAGGCGTCAAAATACCTCCATCTGGAGCATCATGAACTGAACCACAGAATACAGGATATATAGCAAATGTTCGCGCAAAATCTGTCAAAATAACTAACTAATTTTCCGAAGGTCTTTCAGGAGCAGGTGAAAAATTTGACCAGATGATTCCGAAGCATTGAATTCCTCGGAAAGTGAGCCAGTGGAAGGGAACGGAAGCATGATTTCTGCAACCATTGCAACCCAGGGATCAGAGTCCATCCGACCCAGCTCGAGTATTTCTTTCAGCTCTGAGTGCCATTCATCCGCATTTCGACAAGGAATGTGGAAAAATGAAAGCAGTAGTTTCAATTTTACTTGCGGCTGAAGGTAAACGAAACACTCGCGTATGTTTCCCAGGACTTCCAGATTGTACTGAGAACAAATAGAGCCTCCAACCCAGGTATCATTTGAGGTTCCTAGCTTGTTGTGAAGCCAAATGGACGTATCTCCTTCTCTTCCAGAGGCCGTCGACTTCATTTTAGCTCATTCGACGACCAATACTCCGATTGTCACACGAACAACTGATTCAAGATGCCATGAAGCATCGGAGGAATTCAAGGAACCTGTAAATAGACGAAGACGAATCAACTCACAACGCCACTGCGGGTATCCTCTGCCTTCTCGCGACGGACACCAACGGTGTGCTGCCACAGTTCAATATACGGTAATTCATTACACTTCCATTAAAAAATTTTTCTTCATGGCTGGGGTACTTCTGGCTTTCAAGCAGAGCTAGGACAAAGGCTCAGAACCCGGAAGAATTTTGCTGGGACGAGAAGCAAAATGGATCAACGGTGAGTGGCCATCCTCTTCACTGATAATTTTTCAGAGCCGCCAAATAGTATGTGTGATTAATTTGAAATAAAAATCGGGCAGAAATTTGAAAATATAACCTACAATTGGAAGGGATGCTCTATCACAGGCTGCAAATGCATGCGTATTTTAATTTTTTCAATTTCTTGAGATTACATTTCTCTCAGAACGCATGTGCAGTGTGAGCCTTCAACACCTTTAAATAAAGTTGCATTCCAGCAAAAAATCATTTTTAGCTTTACTGTGCATGCTATTTTGAGGAACACCGGAACCGTGACACGACGTTATGGCACAACTTCCTTTCCACGCCGCTCCATTCAGTAAGGGATCCCCTATCGGGACCCTTAACTACAACATCTAGCCTCCTTCCTTGAAACCTCACGAACCCTTCAGAGCTCCCACCCAGGCGTTGCCAAGCTGTAGATGCTTATCACGATTGGTGGAGACGAGCAAGAAGCGGCAGAATTAAAGAATCATTCCGTTATTGACTTCTGACCTGAAAGCATCTTTTTAAGCTTTGACTGTTGCATTGTTTGTTTGTGTTCTGTGAGATTGTGTTGTGCAGAATTCTCGAGTATCCAGAGTTGGATTTGGATTAAACCTCTGGACTAAGTGACGTTAACCGAGGACTACTTTATTCATGATCTTATTGGGGGCTCGTCCGGTGTTCCCTGATCGTGTTAGCGTCACGAGAATGACCCGCAACACGGAAAATTCCAAAGCAGCGGGGTATGTGCAAGAGCCTACCGAGCAAGAGCCGGGTCTGCCAGCAGAAGCAGCACCTGCCGGGCCTTCCGCTCCTTGACCGACTCCCATCCCACCGCCATCACGGAGCCCCTCATCCCAGTCACACGCCTCATCAGGCAGAACGTGGGAGGGCATCCCATTACCGACTCTACAATGCCTCACGGAGGCATACCGCCTTGGAGCGCCCCGGAAAGCCGACCACTCAGGATACGTCGCTTTGCTGGAAACCAATGGCATCCCTCCTTTGCTGGCACAGGGTTGGATCCCGCCACCCGGATGGCACCAACAACCATTTGACCTCCAAATCATTCCTTGGGGAGCAGCAGTACAACAGGAGATCGTCGTCGTGGGACCAACTCCACCCCCTTACCAGCAGGCACCGCATTGTCATCCAGGAGAACCTCAGCTCGCCGATCTTCCTCGCCAGCAAGACAACGAGACCTTTGAGGATTACGCAGACCAGTTACGATGAATGCCAGCCGTCAACAACGTCTCAGCGGACATGAAGGTTTGGTGCTTAATTAATAAAACCCAACCCCTGGTTTGCGAAACGGCATCTATTCTCTATGGGCTAGGTGTTTTTTATTTCGAAGACCTTGTTGCGGAGATCGCAATTTCCCACCCAACCCCACACCTGGACAGGCTGGACCGGTTCCGCCAATTACGTCCACAAAACGGGGAGAGTTTTATCAGCTTTGGTGGGAGACTCGAGCATACCTTCAACTCTTTCCTCACGCTCCCCGGAAGACCAATTACGCTCAAGATGTTGCGCAATAAAATGCTCATCAATCAATTGATAACCGCGGTACTGATCCAGCTTTCAAGATGAGTTACGCAAGAAATGGATTGATAATCGCAATCTCACCTGGTTGGAGGCTATTGCCAAAGCTGAACAATACCGGTTACATACGCATGCCATATTGCGCGGCAGAGCAAGTTCCAAACCAGGTTCCAAAAACTTGACATCATCTCATCATCCCCAACGACAATGGTGCAAGGGGCACCACGCATACGTCCAACATGCCCCAAAGGACTGTCAGATCCTGTTACGGCAGCAGGGTCAACCGGTTCCACCTTCCATGGATACACCTGGATCGACTGCCCCCGCGCGGGCCGAACAACCTCATTCGACCGCGAACAATGTAACTAATAATTGAACATCTTCCGGAAATACGACGTATTGTTTTCACTGCCATGCGCCCGGGCACATAGGCAAGTATTGTCCGCTATTGTCGCAGGGAAACAGTCGCCCGCCACAGTGAATGCGGCTCACTGTGCGAAAGCGGATTTTGCCACGACTCCACCTATTGTGTTACCTTTACAGATTGGCAATACCCTCATCCCGGCTTTGGTAGATACGGGGGCTTCCCACGCCTTTGTGGCTCAGGCAGTGGTTGATCATTTGAAACTCGCTTCTCAACCCTGTGCCATTCAGGTGCAAACCGCCCTTACTTCTGCAACGGCGAAGGTCTCACGACAAGTTATTCTTAATTTCTCCTTCCGGGGCTTACAATATCCTGTCCCCTTTCTCATTCTTCCCCATCTTTCCGATCCACCCATCATTCTTGGGCGTACAGCTCTTTGCCACCTACCCCTAGCTCTGACAATCGATGGCAATTGAGCCTTTGTGGGCTTCCAGTGGACAATCCAAAACCGTGCTGTGCCCACACTGATACCGGGGGAGGGCATTAAGTTTGTCGACGGCTCTGATCAAGAGAGGAACCTGCTTTGCCAGCTGCTTCTCCGCCATACCGACCTATTCCATCAATGGTCCGGCAGGCGGGGATTCTTTCCTGAGCACACGGGTCCCCTCAAGACCAATGATGACAAAATTCCAAACATGCGCTCATTCCGACAGTCCGTCGAGATGAACGCGCTCTTTTCTTCTCTGGTGGATGAGTATATCGAGGCAGGGATTATTGAACTGGCTTCCTCCCCTTATAACTCACCGGCTTTTCTAACCAGGAAAAAGAATTCTGACGATAATGCGCCCCCACACAGGCATTGGCACCTGGTGGAAAATTATCAGGCAATTAATGATCTTTTAGCTGACAACAGGTACCCGATGCCTGTGATACAGGACCTACTGGACGCTTTGGGAAGGAGAAATGCCTACTTCTGCAGCTTGGACCTGCACTCGGCATTCCACCACCTCCCGCTGGCTGTCCATGACCAACCTAAGACTGCATTTTGGACCCCCCGAGGCCAAATGCAATATTGGGTAATGCCTTTTGGCCTGAAAAATGGCCCTGCAGCATTCCAAAGAGCTGTTAATCACATTCTGCGCGCCCATCTTTTTACTCATTGTTTAGTTTATATGGACGACATAATCATCTTTGGGGAAATGTTTGATATTGTCATGAAAAATTTGGAAATGATTTTTACAGACCTCGAAAGAGCAGGAGCAGCAGTGGACCTTGCTAAGTCCACCTTTTTAGCCCATAAAACAGTCTTTTTATGGCACAAAATTGATCAGACCAGAACCAGACCCCTGGAGAAGGACCTGGCAGCCGTCCGTCAATTCCCCAAGCCCGAGACCACACGCCAGCTCCAAAGATTTCTTGGCATGGCCACCTACCTACGGGCTCATTTACCAACCAACTTTGCCATGTACAAAAAGCAGCTCCGCCAAACGATCCCCCCCCAAGCCAGCTAATAAACTCAGGTGGACACCCAATGCGGACAACGCCTTCTCACATCTCAAGGAGATTTTGGCCAAATCTGCCTGCCTGGAGCAAATGGATCCTTCTCATGCAACTGAGGTGCACTGCGACGCCTCCCAAACCTCGTTGGGGGCCATCCTTGTTCAGATCAACAAAGACGGCCAACCCCGCATGGTGGAATATGCCAGTCGCACGCTGAGTGACACTGAATTGCGCTACTCTAATTCTGAACGCGAACTGTTAGCAATAGTGTGGGCAGTGACCAAGAAGTTTAAGCATTACCTCGAGATGCGCAATTTTACTGTGTATACTGACCACAAAGCCTTGCTCAGAGAACTTAAGACTACCCGCCTTATTTATTTGCAGACAAAGCTGGCATCTTACAGGGCAAAAATCGTTTACAAACCCGGCCGGTTTTTGAAGGGACCCAACGTGCTGAGCAGAGTCGTCATCAACTCCGCGGACGTCCGCAAGGTGCCGGACGAAGATGAGCGCATCCGCATCATAGATAGCTACCACCAGGAGCAGGGACACACCGGATGGAAGAAGATTTACCTCACCCTACGGCAATGATACCAATGGCCCTCACTTTGCCAGGACGTCTGGAAACGCATCCAATGCTGCCAGACCTGCTTCAGATATAACATCCAAACAACCAAAGTGGGCGTGCATCTGGATCCCATCGTGTCTTCCCACCCGCGGCAACTGTTAACCCTCGACTTTTACGGGCCACTTCCCTGTACCGCTGCAGGGCATTGCTACGCGATTGTTGCGGTAGACCATTTTAGCAAATACATGATGATGCAACCAATTTCCAACGCTGACGCTACCACAGTTATCCCATTTCTTGCAGAAATCTTTAGACAGTTTGTCCTCTTCAAAATTGTCCACACGGATTGTGATTCCGTTTTTTGCTCACGCGCTTTCAAATGGTTCCTACACGACGCAGGGGTTCAGCAACACGTTGCCCAGGCAACACACGCAGAAGGAAACGGATGCTGCAAGAGAGCCATCCGTACACTCACCCAAGTGCAAGCCAAGGCGACAGAAGGCGACAGCCCTACTTGGGACCAACATATATTTAGTTCTGTCCTAGCCTATAACAATACTATACATTTGTCCACAGGCGTAACACCCTCAGAAGCTTTCTTTCAGAAACCGGCAGCCCTCAAGTCAGACAACACTTTTGGAGTCCTGCCGCCGGACATCACGGAACAGTTGGCCCGCATCCCACAAGTGAACGCCAAGGCCCGGGAACAGTTCTCTGCCTCCGCTAACCAACGCAAGTGGCTCCACTTCCGTCCCGGAGAATTGGTCACCATCCGCCCTAGGCTACCTTCGGTGAAGCAGCATGCAGCAGACCGCCAATTCCGCATCCAGCAGTTCGGCCCATTTATGGTTCTTTGCGACCTCGGCCACGGCGTGTACCACGTCGGCGCCAGGAAAAACATCTGCAGAGTGAACGCGTGGAAACTCGTACCGGTCTGCGGCCTCCCCCGCCCTCCAGACCCCATTTGGGAAGAATTTATAGTTCCTCTTTTTAACCCCAACTCTGAGGATCCATACCTAGCAACAGATACTCTCTTTGCCGACTCCAAGTACGGCTTCTCAGCCGACTTGAATGTCTTCCGGGACCACAACTATGTCATGGCCCCTCCTCTCCTTCCATTACCCTGTCCAGATCATACCTACTGTTCTCCATAGAAAAACGTTTTGCTTCTTCTCTCTGTAAACTCGAGCAAAACCTCCGTTTTTCTCCAGGGGGGGGGGGGAGAGTAAGGGATCCCCTATTGGGACCCTTAACTACAACATCTAGCCTCCTTCCTTGAAACCTCACGAACCCTTCAGAGCTCCCACCCAGGCGTTGCCAAGCTGTAGATGCTTATCACGATCGGTGGAGACGAGCGAAAAGCGGCAGAATTAAAGAATCATTCTGTTATTGACTTCTGACCTGAAAGCATCTTTTTAAGCTTTGGCTGTTGCATTGTTTGTTTGTGTTCTGTAAGATTGTGTTGTGCGGAATTCTTGAGTATCCGGAGTTGGATTTGGATTAAACCTCTGGACTAAGTGACGTTAACCGAGGACTACTTTATTCACGATCTTATTATTCAGGGCTCTTCCACGCCACCCCTAGGAGCGCGTCTCTCATTGAGTGACTTCAACTGCAATGGTTTGGTGGTGTAAAATTTATAGGGAGACCCTGAGGGGAAAATAACAGTTCACATAGAGAAAAGCATTTTTAAAGTCAATATAATATATTTTCTAGGTGAACTCTGATGAACAAATTAAAGGTGTAAAAATTAAAATTAAAAAATTGAATATCCAAATAACATTGCACAAATTAAGCAAATAAAAAGTTCAAGAATTTTTATAATTACCTGCAGTTTTTCATTCTTTCTCTCAGCAAACATACTTGAGAAATAAATCTTTGTTGTTACCAACCTTTAAAACCAATAACACCTAAGACCAAAATCTATTTGAGAAAAGTGGTTACTTGATCATTATACATTTTAGTACAGATGTCACTTTTGCATGAGCTTACAAAATGTCACTTTTCAATAGGTAAACTTTTCATATTTTCAAAAAAGTTGAAAATAGTGTGTGTATTTTGGTATGTTTGAAAATTACTACTGCTATACTTTATTGATGTTTCAAATGAAATTAGGTATTACACTCTGTTTGTTGTGTTTGCAGCCACTTTCACCAGGCTTTCCCTGGTGGGTACAGGTTACAGTGGAACCTTTCTAATTTGAATTTCAAGGGACCTTCAAAAAAATTAGACTTAGAGAGATTTTAACATAGGGAGGTTTTGACTTTTATACATTAGAAGTACAATAAAAGGCCCTGTTTTCTGGGAAACTCAAAAAAAAATGTAAAAGGTAATATTCTGCATATGGGGCTTAAATGACCTCTTGAATGCCCCAAGTGGGGAGCTTTTCTTTATGTGACCCCACAACTGGTGCACACTGGGGTCACAACTGGTGTACATAGGATATTCTGGGGTTACAAGCATGCACCTCTGTAGATGAAATTTTGATACTGTTCCAGGGCTACATTTGGTGCACAAATGTGACATAACAAGAGTATCACACAAATGCACCAACTTTAACCTTGGTGTAACATATTTGTGTACAAATGTGACCCTGAGTAATCCTGGTGTGAACACACAATTTGTGCACATTAGGGATATGCATGTGCATAAGAAGAACTGTGGTACACTTCAGGTGCACAGCAGGGTCACTGTGTACATGTGTATTGCAATTGTGCAGCATTTTCCCCACTCAGGTGAGTTAAAAGGCTGCTGAACTTGAAGGCAGGGGTTCATTTGCCCAATTAAGTCTTTCACTTCCTTTAAGCACACACACATTTATGGGTTTTTTGGTTTTTTCTCTCATTTTTCAAGAAAATAACAGTCAACAGGCCACAGAAAATTTGACTTATAGAGGTTTGAGGGGAAAAGTTTTTGACTTTTAGGGAGGTTTTACTCTGTTTGTTTTAAGGGGATTCAAATGGGACCTGAAATAAAATTTGACTTAGGGAGGTTCAAGTTATTCAGGTTCACCTGTATTAGGGTTCAGTTAACCAGTTGCAAAGGTCCCTGGTTCAATCTCAACCCTTGGCACACTTTTTTAATTTTTCCTTATTTTTTATTTTTAATTGCTCAATCTTTAATTTCTTTCAACCAAACAAAAATCCAAACTGGCAAAATTTCATTGCAAATCCAATAAAAAATTCAAAATTGAAATTTCCTGAATTGTTGATGAGAAGTTATGATGAGCTAAAGTTGAAAATTCCAAAAAAATTGTTTTCCAAGTTTCTGTGGCATGGTGTCCCACTGTGGTTCCATGGATGACGTCGTCAAGTGGGATTTTGACAGACTGTTCGAAAAACACTGGGTATATGGTTTGGCGCCTATGTCGGTATGTGGGTGGCTGTTGATCATTCGGGAAAACTAGGAACATATATTCACAGTGGCCCCTTGAATACATGTTCTGGGCATAATTGATGCTTGGACATTGCCTGTGTTGTGTTGTGTTGTGATTCAAAATATGTTGATCAGGTTTTCTCATTGACTTTTTATGGGAAGATATTCAATTGGTTCTCCTGTTCATCAAAAATAAGGAATCCCTAAAAATTGTTCTCTCAACTTCAAGATACAGTGAAAACCAATGCCAAAGAAAACCACGTGGGATATGATGGTTAGGCAGCATCAGAAGGAATTCAAGAAGCAGAAAAAAGTAGTGCTACTGATGTTGTACGGTGTGCACACATCATGGAAAAAAAGAAGCAGAAAATCTGAATTGCTGCAATTTTATAGTGAAATTTATTTCAATTTTTGGAATCCAGTACAGTGTCTATGTGGCTGAATTTTGTCTGACCTCACTGTCAATTTTTGGGCAATTATTGAGAAGCATTTTGCCATTGATTCACAGGAGGACAGTCGGCCGAGAGGCTTTGGCCATATGGACTGAGCCCAGAAAGAATTGTTGGGGCCACTGATGTCCTCGGGGAACTCATGTTCCTCTTATGAAGTGGTGAGTTTTTCCATTTATAATGACTTGCTGAAAGCTCATCTCTCTTGTTTACAACAGGAAGGATTTAGATGAAATGGACCTCGTCCCAGCAGAAATTTGCAATGCCAGAGCACCTCAAATCGTGATCAACTTCTACGAGGAACGTCAGCAGCAGTGGCAAACCCTGCCGAGTTTATTTTGAACTTTCGAGTGTTCGACAATTCTGTTTTTTTTCTACATGAAACAATTATAAAAGGTACTTCCTCGTTATAATATTCTTACCGTTTTATTTGTGCAACAATGGCTACCTGACTGATCCCTACCTTTTAGTGGTTCACAACTTTTATTAAGTTTTGCGATAATTAGTTGCATCTTGGTTTCTTGTTGTCTGTAAAATGTCTTTCTTGAAGTTACAAAATGAATGAGTAAGATGTATGTGAAGGTATTTGAGGCATTTATTGAGGGGTATAACAAAAGTTCTTGGAATAAAAATTGAGATGACATCCAATAAGTGAGCTGAAAAGTAGGTATTGTTCAGAATAATGAACATTCCTTTGCACACCAAGAAAATTCAGCCCTGTCTGACGTATACGGTATTGCATAAGTCATCCTGGCAACTTTCCGCTCTTCACTCAAGAGATGATATAACCATCTTGCAGATATTTTGGCACAGTGCAGTTTATTCTTGTGCAATTTTGAAGTACAGTACCACAAGGGTTCTAACAAAAGTTCTTGGAGTAGCAATAATTTTTGAAATTAACATGGCATTAATTCCAATAGGGTTGCCTCCAGGTATTCCAAGGTAATTCCGTAATTTTCATCAACAGCTGCCTCCACAGCTGCCACATTGGCTGCCACTTTGGCGGCTGTTGATGAAAATGGCGGAATTGCCTTGGATGACCTGGAGGCAACCCTTAGAAAGAACGCCAAGTTAATTTCAAAAATTCTGAGGGGAAAGCTGGGCTACAACAAAAAAGGGCGCCTCATCTTCTGAGTGGAGAGCAACACTCTGCCAGGGTGAATTATAATAAAATGCAAAAAAAGTTGTCAAACAGGGCTGCTATTTTCTGGGTGCCAAAGAATATGTTTTCCCTAAAGAAAAAATAGTTTCTGCTCAACTGTAAGCCATTTTAATTGCTACTCCAAGAACTTTTGTTAGAACCCTTGTATTTGAACCCTCAAGTAAGACACAGACCGGGGTTTGAATGTCAAATTTTTTTATAAAATTGTATCCAAAACTAAGACACACACCCATTCCTATAAGTGACTCAGAAGTCAGAAAACAGTATTTTAAATATGAGAGCACACAAATTTGAATTTAGACAGGAATTGAACCTGGGCTCCATCAGCTGAGTGAACAGCAGAAGAGCAATGATGATGCAATTGGATGCTTTTTCAAAATCAAATGAATGAATAATTTTCCAAAAGCCTCCAAGTTAAATAACGTCCTCACAACTCATTTAACCGGCATTTCGTAGGATCGCCAATTTTATCTTCCTGTAATTTTTCATAATTTCTCTCAGCAAGAATCCCAAGTCAATTTTTATATGGGTCCCTTATTGGAATTTAACATTGAGAGATCCATCTGTATAAACCGAAGGATCACACTAACTGATCTTGACATATGTTCACTTCGCTACATTGGACGAGTGGGGAGTCCTGGGAAAAAAGCTTTCAAAAAGTTATTGTCTTGTCTAGGTAAAGTGTAGTAAATTTCAGTCAATTTCCCGTATTGAAATGAATCCACGTCACGCATATAAGAGGAAGTCGTTTTACTTCGGCTGTCATTCGACACAAATAAAAGGATAGCGTGAATTGAAACGAATTTGTGCGCATCGAAGAATAAGAGAATAAGCGAAGTCTTCCGAAAATTACTCCTTCAGGAGATCAAAAATCGTTTGTCGGAAAACAAAAAAATCAGCGAGAAACCTAGGATCACAACAACCCGGGGAAACAGACTCCCGGCAAATCTACAAGTGTTAGTCTTCGCTAAAAAAAAAAAAAAAACATACAACAGTCACGCAAAATCTCCACTGACACCATCACAGAGATAATTTTAACTGCTGAATCGCAACGAAACCGACGAATTTAAAAAAGCCTTGACGAAAAGAAACAAGAAGTCTCGCTGCACTTGGCTTCCGAACACTCAACATAATAATTACAACTTCGTTCACAAGGTTCCATCCTCTCAGCAAGTATACCAACTCGCACGCTGTGTACAAATAATGCCAAAAACCGCGCAAAAAAAGGTTGTCAACCTTTCGATATGGAAGAAAAGTGGTGACTCTCAAACCGCAGAGGACCTCAGTCCACCTCCATTCGTTGCCTGATGGTTGCCATTCGTCTCTCCAGACTTCTCACTGCAAAGACAAGATGGGAAGCGTTCATGTATGTTAGATCCGTCGAATGAATCGAACATACACATATACCAACTGAAGAAGTAAAATCTCGTTACAAGAAATTCCAAAGGAGCTGAGAAAATTTAGTTTATGATGAGATTTATGGTTCTTTTAGCACGCAGCGCAGAATTTTGTGGGATAGAATTCCCCAAATACATCTATCCAACTTCTCTTGATAAAATAATGGAGGAAATTGAAAATGTGAAATAAAATTAGCTTAATTCAGACCTTCACCATACTCTCTTGAATTTTCAATAAATATACTTATCTTACTGAAGTAAATGAGCTGAAACAAACAGAAAATGCATGTGTGAGGAGAGCATTACAGTACAGTATTTGATTCATCAACCAATGCTGATGTATATTCCCTGAAACAAGACATACTGTACAGTAGTTTTTCTTTCAAAAAACAAGCCATTTCTGAATTCTATAATATAGTTGAATAAATTTTATTTCGAACTTCATACAATGCTCAATTTTCTGCACAAACAGATTAGTATTCATATTTTTTGAAGCTTTTTCAAAAGTGAACAATAACAGCAGTTATGCTTTCCCATATTCTGTCACTTATGTGGTCCATGCGCACATGATAAAGGCACAAATTCGAAATGCTGAGTTCATATAGGAGGAGAATTAGTTATTACAAAAAGTTTATTCCGTTGTGCCTACGAAGAAACAGCAACCATTCGGTCCAAAAAAATCTCATTGGAACGATAAATTCGTTGTAACAGAATTTTACTGTTTCTCAAATTAAAGACGTAAACGGCAACGTCACAAGAATTTCATCCGCCAAGGAAAATTCGGCGGTTATTTCACATTAAAATGCATTTGACAGAAGGATCAGTCTTCTGGAAGAATAAACGCGAGATGGTGTGGAACTAGATCAACTATTTAAAAAAGCTTCTGGACGTGATGAGAATATAAAGATGGACAATGAGTGCTAATATTATTCCATGAGAATTACGTCCAAAATCCACCCAATGCCAGCAGTGTGAATACTCATACAAAAACGTTCATGCACAGGACACTTCGTTGGAATACAAAACAAATACTTCATACAGAACTTATTTCTGATGTTCTCAGTATCCACAGGATGCTAATACACTAACAACAGTATAATGATTTACAGTTTTATATATAGCGCGGGACGTCTATACATCAACTGAAGATCGAATTTCAGTTCAACCGACGAAGGAGACAATTAATTATCCCTTCTTCAGTTCAAACGTTAACATTTCACCGAAACAGCAGTGACTTTATTCGGTATAAATACGATGCATATAAAAACGAAATACTGCACAAAATTGAAAGGGCGTTCTCAAAAACGCGTTAATACAATAATTGATTGCTGCTCAGCTGATGATCAATATTCAAGTACTCACGGTTCGGATATCATCGGCGCAGTTTCCGAGCTGACTTTTTCTGCATCGTTGAGAACCAGTTTCGGATCCTTGTCCCTGCAACATCAAGATAGCCGAAGAAAACGTCATCAGCACCAGTCGGTTCGTCGCACAGAATATAAAGCCCGATCATCAAAAGTATGATCGAATCGCGAGAATTTCTCAATAATCGGAACCCGCGGAGATAAGTAATCAGTCATGATAATGCCCATTCATAAAAAACTCGTTTCGAAATAAGCAAACCGTGTGGAAAGGTCACTTACCCCTTGCCCTCTTCTAGGGTGTAATGCTTGGCCGAGTATGAATCTCGATGGCACATGCGTGACACCTTGTACATCAACCCTTCAGTAAAAGGATTTCAATTAAGTGATGGTCAGTGACGAGAATCAAGGAATACTATCCGTTCAATTCGAAGACTGTTTCATACCTTTCTGCTTCCTGCACAAGATGAAATCGACAACGATGAGGATGAGCAGAACAACCGCGACGACGCCGATCACTAGTCCGTAAGTTTCCTCGGCAGTTTCAACAGTTGTGGAAGATGCCTCCGAATCGTCAGATGCGGACTTCACCTTCTCCGTTTCCGGTGGGGGTTGATCTGCAATAGTGGTTAAAATTTTAAATTGTATAATTCCTCATGACATATTTCATTGAGCAATTGAAAAATCGATGAAGACGTGCAAACGAAAACTTCAAACGAACGCAATACATAAGATATCTAGTGGAGCAGCCCGCAAAAACCATAAGAAAACTTAAAAATTACGCATAGGTGTCGCACCCAATACGTTCTTCGAACGTTACTTTCTCCATCACCTTCATTCCTCAACATACGCGGGGCATAATCAAACTAAATATCATCTATACCTCCACCAGTAGAACTCCCATTATATTACGTCATTTCAATTCATTCATTTTCTCATCCATTCAGGGACATCATCAAAAAATATTATTGCTGCGAACGAATCATCGGTTTCGTCTGCGCCGCAGGAAAAATGAGGTCCGACCGAACCGCTACGTACGCGGAACAGATGGGCATCAAAAGGTGGATGTCCGTAAGTGTGGAAACCGGGACACACTTTATTGGTCACCCACTCGATTCTGGGATAGCATGTGATATAATCGAAAAACAAACCAAAAAGTCGAGAAAATGCTTTTTAAATAAATCCCGGGCAAGAAAAACTTTCGATGATACGAAGGAGCTCGTCAAGACACACAAAAAAGAATTCTCCCAACCTCAATAAGGCATTCTATATCTTTAATGAGATCATATCATGCCTCCCGAGCATTTCAAAATTCACTGATGGCCACCACAATATTCATGAGTATACAGTATATAAACGAAACAACAATTTTTAACGATAAGGCGGGCTAAGCTATTACGGGGCAAAAGAGAAAATAAAGAAAACATTCTCGCAAGTTCGTTGATCCACAATTAGCCTCTTATTCTTCTTGTCCCTCTCAACCTTTGTTGCTATGGGAAATGCGGACCAATTCTTCCATCATCCTTCTTAACGGAAAACATTTTATGGAGTAGATGTACGACAAGTCGCGGCACTGAAGCACAATAACAAAAAAAGGGGATACAATGCAAATTTCTTCATCAGGCTGCTCAATTCACCAGCATTAATGGCTTTCCGGTGATGAGAATAGCGTGGTATTCTTAAATTTTAATCTGTTCTATAGAATACCATTCTCCTTAATTCCGCAACAAATCAACACAGATTACATCTTCAAATCAAATGAAAATTAAAAAAGACCCGGAAACCCGCAATGAATAGGCGCCTCAGAAAAACCTCTTTGGATACATCAGGCAATTTTTTTGAAATGCTCCACAGTCAGCTTCACTTTGATAAGCTAATATCACACAGTTCTACTGGTTCTATGCAATAATTGCCTCTTCCTTTGCCGTTCATCCTATCGAAAAGTATATAATTACTGTACCACATTTACTCAAGTACTTTAAGCACACCCATCTTTTTCGCTCAAATTCAAGAGAAAAAAGGGGGAGGGCGCCTGACTGGACATCTCAGGTGGGTATAAAATTTTTAAAAAGTTTTAGTAGTTTAGGTGTGCATTAAATCAATGCTTCCAAACCTTTTTAGGCCTGCAGATGAGCATATTCACATACATTTTTTTCAAGGACTGGCAAAAAAAAAAAAAAAATTCTGCAGACTGAAAAAAAGTTTTGTTTGAAAGACTTCAGGTCACATGAAAAATTCGATTTTTTTCTTTCAAAAAGTAAGTTAAGAACCAATGAAGCACCTGAAGTAGAATGTCTTCAAAAAATTAGAAAGGTGCTGGACTGCAAGAAAGGTTTCTCAGAATGAAGCATTTATAGAAATTCTTCCAGCAGGTGAGAATTCATTAGGAAAGCCAACTTTCACTGTTCATCAGATAATTTCAACTGGCATTGTCTTTCCAAAATTTCAGATAAACATAACAGACTTCATTGCTAACTTTGATCAATACATCATGCTGAAGAAAAATTCCTGGGACTGGCAAGAAAGGCTTCTGCAGACCAGCACCAGTCCTTTGACTGGTTGGGGAACACTTCATTTTGGACCAAGTTCAGAAGAAAAATTGATTTCACAAGAAACAATTGAAGATCACTTGAATTTATGTCCAAGATCAAATTTGGGTGCTCTTATTTTTGAAATATTGTGGTTTTAGAGTCACTAAAAATGGCCTATGTGTTATCTATGTTTTATCAGGGATACAATTTTTCCAGAAGTTATGACTGAAAACCTCTGATGCGTGTCTTACATAAGAGTACTGGAATAATCATGGTAATAATCAAGAATCGTATATAAGGTACAGGATGAACTAAAGCTTCTTTGGCAAGCTTCCTAATTTTTTTTTTTACGACAAAGCAAGGCCCAATCATAAATCCGATGAGTCCTAGTCCCGAAAACTCGTCTAGAAAGTAAATTGCAGCATAAGAAAACAACACTATTATAAAAAACAGAGATTAATTTAAGAAATTAACCCTTCTGTTTGAAGTCCTGTACTAGAAATAATCTCAAATATTAGCCACCTTTCAGAAGTCACAATACTGCTTACCCTCATTGAAAAAAATGTCGCTTTTCGCGCCATAAAAATCATTAAATTTCACAACATAAAATTGGCAGCTTGAACCTTTTTCCTTGAGAAAGAATGTCTCAACTCGTCTCAACTTTGTTCCGCGGCCGGGAAACATGTCGTCATAACACATAACACACAGGGTTTGAATCATGGGTCTCATTTTTTGTTTTTGTAAAAATGTTACGAGCATTGAAATCTGAATTTTTTAAAAATTCCACAACTTCAGTTTCCTCGTCGTTCTGACCACGAAGTACAAAAACTGACAAAGCCTCTCCCTGCTGATGCAACATATCATCCCACCTTTTCACACGCACTCACTCACACGAAAAAAAAAATAAGACCAAAAACGCCGCTCAATCAAAATTGTCAAGATGAATCTATCAGGGATCACAACAGGTTCCTCAGACACACAAAACTGGTCTGGTTCAAGGACAGTCACCTCACTATCATTATAAAAAACCACCGAGTTGTCGATTGAAAAATAAACTAAAATTACCTCCCTCATCGACGACCGACCGGAAGAATGCAAGCGGCATTTTAGGAATTCAGTAATGTTCCCCCCCCCTCAAAAATTGAACTGAAATTTAAAACCCTACAAAAAAAAACTAAGGTATTTTTCTTCGATGCTTCTTTCGTCCTCAAATAACATGCCGCCTGCATTCCATACATGACGACAAAGAGGATATATAACATTAAATCCATACCCTCGGCATCATCACATCAATAATAAGCCACAAAAAAAAAACAAAGCATGGACGGACGAGCAGACATAAAGATATATACAGTAAAATTCCGTTACAACGAATTTTTCTTTTGGTCCCGGAAGTTTCTCCTTAGGCGCCATGTCATGAAAATTTCATGTCGACGAACTCATTTTAGGCTGTAATCCATCATTATATAACGAATTTTAGCCCTGAATCTGTGCAGAGGTCACGTAAATAATTTGATAATTGGCAGAAAAATGAACACAATTGTGAAGGTGCAGCATTCCAACTTCATCAAATCGACAAAAGTTTCTGTGGAGAAAATTCAGTGTTCTCAAAAATTGAAAAAATGACATTTTTCTTGAAGATTCTTTAGCTCCACTTTGGAATGCATGCCTTTCTGTTAAAATTAATAGCATCTTTTAAATAATTGTCCTCTTAGCTATTTGAAACATCAGAAAGATGCGAATGGATAAGTTGATTCAGAAGGAAGTAAAGTATTTCTATGCCATGTGCACTTTTGTTTGATTTTAATTTTCCAGACAAACAGCAATTTTACATGAAAGGCCAAGTTCGGAAATGACTGTACTATTTATTCCAAATGTTTCTTTACATTTCATCAGAAATTATGACACGTTTTGAATCAACTGCTTTAAAAGCACTTCACATTATTCATTAGTTTAAAATATGTCGAAAACCAAATAAGGATCTTGATATAATTCTTTTTTTTTTCGTTAAGCAAATTTTCATCACGCCTGTGTGAGTTCTTTGTAACGGGATTTTCCTGTATATTGGAAAAATAAATTGTAAGGAAAAAAATAATCGACGAGAAGAAGAAAAAATGTTGGGAGTGATATTCAGAGCAGTGACGCGGATTGCAGGACGACTGCAAGCAAAAAGACGACAGCACCAAGAACAGACTGCGACGACGACGATGACGTCACGGACATCTGCCCAAATCGATCTAGAAATCAAGTCAAACATTGTTCTTCTTCTTCTTCTTTTTGGTCTTCTTCATATTTTCGAGAACAAACGCACAATTGGACCTCAATAAGTCGAAACCTCGCTTCAAGTGGAATTATTGTCTAACCCCCATTTTTTTTTAGAATCAACTCAAATTGAGTTTCCTTTCTCAAATCTCCGTAAGTCGAATTTTCTGGAGGCCTTCTTTCTTATTGTTTTATTGAAACAGGCAAGAGAAAGGAAATAAAAATGTAACTTGACGTGTTCTGAAAAGAAATGAAAGACTAATTGGGCTCCATTGCCCTTAGTTGCCTCCAAATTCAACATCCTGTTAACTCATTCAAGAAGCAATTTTAAGCCAAAAATATCGCCATTCACAATTTCCTGTAATTCTCGTTTCTTTCATCGCAAACAAAATTACTTGTTTCCTGAACTCGATTACTTTAGCTTGTCCCTTCAAGGTTTGACTTAATGAGGTTCAATTTTGCAGTGGACCCTTGGTTGACAAAATTTTGGTTTCCAGGAGAAAAAAAAAACCACCAGTTCACAAACCAAGATTCAGTTGAAAAACTTTATTTTTTTCTTGGGGAAAATTCCAAATTTGAACATTTGAAGCAGGAGAACCTTTTTTTAAAGCTTTGCTTTCATCAGTGGTACACATTGAAAACATTCTGGGCACATTTACAAGATGCAGCAGCATCTTATTCTTTTTACAGTTGATGGTCTTGAATTCTTCACATTCAATTTTCAATTGTCTTCAGGGTTCACAGAATGGATTAAAATGTTCTCAAATCAAGTCTATGCTGAGAAAATCAAATTCAGTTAACCAACTTTTGTCTGGAACCAATTAAATTTGTTGACCAAGGGTCCACTAATAAATCCACTAAAACACACACACAAACTCTCTCTATTTTTCTTCATAAATGGACAGAAAAGAAGAAATAAATACAGTACCCAAGAGAAAAAAACAAATAAAACCACAACCAAGCAGCAGCAAACAAAAAGCTTTCCATCCTCCAGCATCGGAATAACCAAAAGCCACATACAAAATAATTAAGATCCATTACACAGTACGGTATGATACTCTCGTTATTGTGCCACAGTATTATTGATAAACAGTACACTTACTGTGTGACCTTTCGGTCTTGAAAACAGTGAGTCCCGGGTGGGAAAAGCCGATGATGTTGTGCGCTCGCAGCTCCACCTGGTAGAAAGTGTCCGCATCCAGGCCATTCAAGGACATCACCAGACTGCCCCCCGGGTAGGGTCTGCTCTTGGTGTGCTTGGGTCCGTCCTGGGTCCACATTCCTGTCGACTTGTCTCTCACAACCTGTGATTTTTGTGAAGTAAAATGGGAGGAAAAAACGGAATATGTGTCCATTATAACCATAGGAAAAAGACTATTCATATACATTCTGCACCAGCTTTTTTCCTCAAATAACATCATAACCCTGAAATACACTATCTGTACATCCATCACCATCAGGGATTCCGTCTGTCACGTTTCTCATGTCAGAGGATCACTACAACTATACCAGAATATTTTACAGAAAACATATTTTTACAGACAACTGTAAGGGCTACTGTTGCAAACATTCAGATCCCAGGGTTTATTGTTACACATGACTACAGCATGAGAGGATTGATTAAATTCTAGCGTCAATGATGGACCTTATGAAAACAAGACAAGATCTCTCATTCAGAGGAGTTGGGATGAAATTTTAGCAAACATCTTGTCAAGAAAAATTTAAAGTGTGGAACAGATTGAGAAAGATTTGTCACAAAATGGATCTTCATTTGACTTATTGAGATGGGAAACAACATCTACAATATAGTTTTATAAGTGAGACCCCAAGACGGGGACATAATTGGTGCATCATGAGTGTCCCAAAGTTGAGTCTCATTTTCCCTCACACTTACATTACATAATTTCAATTGGTGTTTTATGGACAACATACTCACCTTAATGTCATGAGAATAAAAATGGTCTCCCAATTGAAACTGATTCAATCAATATATTTCAACAAAATATGGACATTTGAGGAATTGAATTGTAATGTTATTTTTACATAGAAATGTTGGCATTCTCTGTAAAAATAACATTCAAGTGAAAAAGAGAGAAGGAAGTCCTTCTATGCTGGAGGTACTTTTTTTTTAAATTAGCTAAATGGATGGTAAATTGGTGAGAGATACCCAAGAACTTTCCTTACATCAATTTTAGGGCTGGAAATATCTGTTTCTTGTAATTTGGCCTGAAAATTATTTGCAATTTTATCACAAAATGTCCCTATGTTGAGTCAGTGTCCTCATGTCTGGCCATTTTCATCAATTTTTTTTATGCATGTGAGGGTTTCACTGTATATATACAGTATATAATTACTGCATTTACATATAAGGTTCTTATATCATACATATAATATAATCCTGGAGTCAGAACTCATCAGGCCGAATTCCAAAGGACCAGCAAAAAAAATTGAAGTTAAGGGACCTTTTGAGTCAGTGAAACAAGGGTGTTTTGTTGTTGAGGGAGGGGAGGGGAGCAGGAAATTAAGCAAAATTGTAATTGATATTCTGGACCTTAAATTGCTTCTTAAATGAAAAAAAGATTTATGACAGGATGCTAAACTTGGAGGCACCAGTTCATTTGGTAAATTTGTCTCTTATTTATTATTTCTTTCCAAGAAAACATCGAAGTACATTTCGATTGCTTTCATCTTTCCTGTGTTAAAAAATAGCCAAAATAGCTCCAGAAAAATTTGTGTTATAGAGGTTTACGGAGGAAGAACAATTGAAAAAAAGTTTTTGAAAAATGCATCTCTCCAGCAACAGCTAAATACCTGCCGGGAGATTTCCTCTGCTGTACCAGCATATAGAAAATACTTTTCCCCGCAATTATAAAAACTTCATCAAATTGAGTGACACACTTACACACACAAAAAAGGCTGTGCCAATATAATCAGTGCTCGAAGCAGCACAAGAGAATCACTTGACCCAATAATACACCAAAGAAATCCCAACTGTTTCCGCGACATCTGCTTCAATGATCGGCGCAATAAATTTCACAGGACAGCCAAAAAAAAAAAAGGGTAAAAAGCCCCCCAGGACATCTGGTAACCGTGCTTCTCTCGATCATCTCGAGGCACCCAAGAATCCCATTACTGAACCAAGATTCCAATCAATCAATCAATCCTAGAATTTCTCTTTATACAGGGAAGTCATGGGCGAAAATAAATAAAAATGAGAAAAAAAAGAGGCGTACCTTGTGGAACGACACTTCGAACGAGTCGATGGGGCGTCCATTTGCTGGCGGCACCTGCCATCTCAACTCGTACCTGCGAAAGCAAAAAAGAAAATTCCGATCAATTTTTGCATTTAAATAGTACTAAATTTAAGTACATGAGTGTAAAAATACGAAAGTCATCACATTGCCGTCAACCGGAACAGAGCTTAGTAGTGGAACACCAATTTTCCCGGTAGAATGAAATAATCGAACACGACGTTTTTAAAAATCTATTACAAGGAGAAAGCTTTCCACGAATTAAATCACTCATAATCCATTTGAATCCGACGAGCTTTTTAATGCAACGAATCAATCGATAAAATCCATAATAAATTAAGTCATCAGGCTAAAAATCCGGATTTACCACAATTATACTTTTAAACATTTCTGAGAAATTAATTTCTCACCGAACTGGATTTTCTAGGGCAGAATCATTTAAAGATAAAGACATGAAGATTACCGCAATCTTTTGAGCATCAACAGTTCAAAGTCAATTTTAAAATTTAATTCAACGATTTTCAGCACATTTCAATTCGGAAAGCTTTTCGATGCTTCAAATCAATGAACGAAAATCGTTATTAAATTTTTTTGATGCGTCAAAATGAGTTCCACTATTTTACTTTTGAAGCTGCGTCAAAATGTGTTCCACTATTTTTTCGAAGCTAAATGTTTCATCATCAATATAAGTTATTTTATCGTTTTGTTTTACCAAATTATGGGCGACACGAGCCCCGGTATTCGGGTTCGAATCAGACACCAAGTTGGAATGCGACAAACGAGTCGTGAAGGGTGGACATGTTACAAGCTCAGCGGGGTTCTCATTATACCCCCCGGATAATGATCACGATAATCAACCATGAAGCACTTCCGGAAAGAGGAATGGCAATAAATGAAAAATCAAAACCATCGATCAGATCAAAGTTGGGAAGGGAACCTTACAAATATCGCAGAAGAATGCGAAGATTGCATGCAGTCAATCCCAAATTGAGTGCCTCAAACAATCTGTGGCACGCTTAAAAATTGTGTCAAAATCCAAGGCAAAATTGTAAAAAAGCACTTCCACAACACATACGTGAAAATTACCATCATTCACAACTTCGTTGAATTAAAAAATAAAAAAGAAAACTGAGACTGTAAAATACAGTTCCTCTTATTTTAAACCTTCGCTTTCTTAAATTCCCTGAAAATACACATTATTAGAACTTTATGCTTCCTACAATGCTAAATTTCCCGTAAAAAATTTAGCATTCGTATCTTTGAAGGTTTTTCGATTATGCACGAAGTTGGGTTCTCCCATATTGTGCCAATTAATCAATTTTTTTAATATCCCTGAACAAATAGTAAGAGAAAAATTAATTACACTAAGATTATACAGGAGAATTTTTGCTACAAAATAATTTTTAAAACACTGCTCCCAAGGAGAAGATGCTGTGACCAAGCAAAATTTCACTTATACAGTACCTAGATTCCTTGTAACGGAATTAGACACATTATTAGAACTTCATGCTTCCTGTAATGCTGAATTTCTAATAATGAATTCTAATGATGTGTCTAATGTGTAACGGAATTTTACTACAGGTGGATTTTCTCTCTACAACGAAATTCAAGGCACCAGGAAAAATGTTCCTTGAGGACCTCTGTAGCACGAGGAAATTATATCAGACCCAAAAAAAATAGTTATGCAGAAAAACTGTTGCACTGTACACAAACCATTGTAGAGAGAGAGTCCACCTGCATACGTCAATTTTTAAATCGGGATAATAAGCAAGTACATTCTTGGGTTGAGCCAGAGAGAGAGAGAAACAAAAAAAAACGCACAAAAATTACCACACAGATTGACTCTCTCTATATAACGATCATGTCTACAACGATTTTCTCTGTACAACGATTTTTTCTTATGGGTCCCATGGGATTCTTTCCCAATTTACAGGGGCAACACAATTCTAGTCTGCAACCCCTACACCGGAATTTTCATTTCTGGCCCCTTTAATTTTGTCGCAGAGAGACAGAGAAAGAGAGAGTCCACCTGTACTATAAGAATACGCGAAATAATGATGAATTAAAATTTTTTATAAAAAAGATCAAGAGAGAGAATTGAACAAACCTGTCGGGGTACGGGGTCTGCGTGAAGTCGGTGTCGCTGATGGGCGCCCCTTCGATGACGGGCCGGAACGGCGGCCCTTCCTCGGGCATCTGCCTCGTCACGTCGGCCGCCCAGTCTCCGGTGCCCACTGGGTTCCGGGCCGCAAACCGGAAGGCATACGTTTCCCGTGGCTGCAGGTCCTCGAGCACGTACGGTGTTCCTGTTTTTTTTTTTTTTTTTTTTTTTTTTTTTTTTTTTTTTAATAGGGTATTTTCTCTTCTAAAATGGTTTCCCTCAAGATCATCTTCTATATCGCAGTCTTTGGTTGCTGACCCGCGGGGGAAAAGCAAAACATTCGAAGGATGAAGAATTGAAAATTATAATCAAACAGAAAAACAGAACTGCAAACTAAATAACATTTTATTCTTCATTTCATCAAAGAGCGACTTGGGATTTACGACAGGTCTTGAATCATCTGTTTCAGGAGAACTTTGAAATATTAATTATCACTGCAATACAATACTGTATATATTTTTCTGCGTAAACCGAAATTATCCGAAAATTCTAAAAATTTTCCATTTAAACTTCCATTACCTTTGTCTTGAAAGAGGAGATTAGTTTTCCTCAGCCCACCTATTTTCCGTATTTTTTCTGGCTAATCATCAGCCAAGGAAGTGAAAATCGAAAAAAGTTCTCCTTTAAATAATGTACTGAACTAAAAGTTACTATTTTATCGGCGTCTTTCGTTTTTCGCCAGCAAACTGTCTTGTGACCTTGAAAGATCCGCAAGAAACCCTTCGAATTAATGCCTTGTCAAAATATGAATAATTCTCAACGGAAAGCTGGGGTACACCAAAAAGCTGCCTATAAACGTGAAGGCAGTCAAAAAAAAAATTCTGGCTTTCGCAAAAAATTTTCTGCAAAATATGTCAAGCAGAGCTAATATATTTTTCTTGCGCCAAGGAAAAGGGTTTTTTTCCAGAACAATACCATAATTGTTTTTCACCTCGGTCGTATCCCGTTTCAATTTGTATTCCGCGAACTTCTGTCAGACCCCTCGTATCTTCATCTGTACGCAGTAAAATTTACTGTATATACGAGGGCCATCCCACTTGAAATTAACCTGGGGTATTTCTAACGTGGGTCATACCACAGTAAACAACATTACATAATTTAGCCCATGATGTTCTGAGATTCTGGGAATTTTTTCAAACGTTTCAACATTTTTTTTTTAAATTTTTGGCACGATGATAAGTGCAAACGTTCCTGTTTTTGGCGCAGTTCTCCACTCATGTCACAGAGTGCTACAAATTCTCAGCACAGCTAAACAATTGAAATTTTCATATGATTTGAACCAGGATCTTTCCTAAATTCTGTGAAATTTTCAAAATTTTCGCCTGATTATTCTTCTTACAAAAATATATATATATACACACCCTTGGTCCAGATGCGGCGCCTCGCGTCCGCCCAGGACTGATCGTATCTCCTGTACTGCACCAAATACGCGTCCACCTCCAGGCCGCTGATTTCCCTGGGCCCAACAAACCGGAACGTCACCATATCCGCTGCAGAAAAAAATATCAAAACGCATTTAAAAAAAAAAGGAGGGAAGAAAAACGGAAATAACGATTTGAATCAGAATCCATCAATCCGGCTTCTATACACACAAAACACCACGAAAAAAAAATTGTACATAAGGCCTGAGCCTCTCATTACGCATTGAAAGGCCCCAAGAGAGCGTGACGACGAGATTATTTAATTTGTTTATTTCTTATCACAAGGGCGGGGGAAAAGCAAAACATTCGAAGGAAACATTAATTAAAACAGGAGACGTGAGAAGAAGAAGAAGACGCAAATCACGAATCTAACCTTGCATCTCGTCATGCAAAAAGCCCCTCGAGACAAAACTGTGACTCATCGACATTCCACATCCCCAATAACATGTGGTCATTTATACAAGTCTCAAACACCATAAGGCATTGTCATTTACTCGAATAAACACACATCCGCATAATTTACATGAAATAACGCATGAATGGACGGAACTTCACACCCTGCCCCGTATAATTGCTGATAAAAAATCAGCAATTACGGACCACAAAAGCCTCATACACTATTCCCTCGTCCAAAAAAAAAAAAAGTCTCATGCTGTGTGCACTATCTCGGTCATCTCATGAATACACTTCCTCCGCTTCGCACATTCCTTTCTTTCGAGCTTCCGAAATTATTACAGGGTGAGCACAAACAACGACAAAACATTCCTCGCAAAAAAAAAGAAAAAGCAGTTGAACCCCGACATCACGGGCGAATGGATTTAGAACTAAAAAGTTCTGCATGCCCTAATACATCTGCAAAATGCCCTGAAATTCGGACACTTTCCCAACATATATTTCTGTAAATTGGAAACAATTCATTTTGCCAAAAATTTTAAATACCTCAAACAAATTCAGCTATATAATACGAATAACCATTACTAAATGGTTCCCCTGTATTTTATAGGCGCACTCTGTTAAATCTGAGCCAGATAAGACTGATGCAACACGGCAAAATAAGATCAGATATACGCAGAAACATCCAGAAAAAAAGGATGTATATATTTATATATATTCTGTACTGAACAATACATATATAAAACGAGGGGGAAAAGGCTGTCGATAAGGAACACAACAGAACATCCAGTCCCCGCGGGTCAGCAACCACATGAACTCGCCACACAATCCGTCATCCACGTCCAACGAATGGATGTTGGAACTCATTGCATTGAATTGCCCATTTGAGGCCCAAAAAAGGCCACAAATGGTTCACATTTAAAAGGCCGTCGAGACAACAAAAATAATATAAAAGTTCAACACCCTACAGAGCTTTTTTTTTTTTCGAAGAGCTGTTCGGTGTAGAAGGAAGAAGGATGAGGAGGTAATTGAACGGAAAATTGTATACCCGCACATTTATCTTAGAATGGAGAGGCAAACTCGATACAGCAAGGATTTTACTGTACGTAGGCGAGTTCAAAGACTGCGATATAGAAGATGATCTTGAGGGAAACCATTTTAGAAGAGAAAATACCCTATAGTGAATATATACGACCTGTATGTCTCAATAAGAACAGAAACACCAATGTTTACAATATTTTATTTCATTGATGAAAATTCTCCCTACAAGTTCTCAAACTCGAATAAATTACCACACCTTTGAATAAGTGTCACGAGCTTGACAATAAAAAAAAAGCAGTGAGAACCATAAAAAAAAAAATAACTTTCGGAAACTTCAGAAAAAATTTTATATTGTACTGTACTGAATAATTCGTCATGCAGTAAAAAGGTTTTCAAAATTAATTGATGTGCTGTAAACATTTGAACATGAGATCTGCCTTCAATCGATTAGAATATTAGATCTTGACTTTTTGACATTCACAGTTTTTTCCATAATTGTTTAAAAAAAAACTAAGCGATCTTCTGAGAAAAAGTGTGTCATACTGGAATCGGAAAGACTGCTATAATGAGATTTTTTCACATTTACTCCATGAGCTTTCTGCTGTGACTTGATAGAAAGGTTCGCTATTCTAAATTTTTTTTTAGCAACGGTTATATTTGTTTCAACAGAGATATTTTACTGCACTTCATTCCTTCATGTCACAGCACTCGAATTCCAGCCCGTAAAAACACGAGAAATTATCTCAGCAAATATGGATAACTCGTGTATGTATTTGTTTCTGCTTCCACCGTTTTCGAGCTCATTTTTCTTGAATGAAAGGGATGAAAATATGCCACTCAAATTCTCAACAGAAGAACGTGTGATGATAACCGGAGGAAAATCATTAAAACCCACAACTTTGAAAATGTCCTTGACCTTGGAAAATGAAATATGCACAGATAAGTCGCAAAATGCAGGAATAATGCTTACCTGTAGACTCTTCTTCGATAATTATGGCTTGTTGAATGCTTTCCGGTGGATAAGCTTCAGTCAGCTTCATGACATACTCGGCATCTCCCAACAAATTCTGCGCATGGCACGTGTAAGAAGTGTAATGAGTGGTATCCTTTGGTGTGACCTGAATGAAACACGGAAATGAGAAAAAAAACCACGTCATCATTTTTCAAAGGTTCAACCAAGAGATTTCAATAAACACGTGAAATGACAGTAAATGTATGCCGACATAACGCACATCAGAAATCGAACAGCTGTTGAAATACAGTTCTTCTCCACGGAGATAATTTTTAAAAAGGTACTGCTGTACAGTACCAGCTGTTAATGAAGGAAAATTAGTTTCTGCCCAAATGAATACAATTCGAGCGTCCTACTGTAAAATGGGGGTTTGGCAAAAAAAAAACACACACACAAGGATTGCTTTAGAAAAATAAGTTTTAGCTAAAATAGAACCTTGCCAATCCTTTCTTCAGGGAAATTTCAATTTGTTGTTGTTGTTGCATGAAAGAATATTTGCAAGCAGGATCCCTGTTTGTAAGTCAGTGGAGAGAGAGAGAGACCTTCCGAACACTCAGTTTTTCTGCAAGATAATATGTCAGCAAGAAGATTTGCTCAGATCAAGACCCCAACTGACATTTCATTTTCTTCCCACTTAGCAATCCAACACAGCATTAGTCCCTTGACCACCACCACCACCACCATTTCATTGATAGATTTACACCAGTGCTGCCCAACATGTGGCAAACGGGGCCACCTGTGGGCCAAAGAGACTCCTTGCCTATCCCACAGTCATCTTCCCCCATGATTTCAAGGTGGCAGCTCGCACTATTCAAAATGCATTTTGAAATTAATTTGACAATTCAAAATTTCGCCTCACCCTTCAAAAGTCTTGAAGGCTATGCTTTTGATTCAATAAATTAAAATTGAAACTTTTCATTAAAACGGGAACAGTTGGAATACTGTATAAACAATTCTTGTCTAATCTGATGTGGTCCTGGGCCACAAAAATGCATTAATGTGCAGACCTGCCTCCAAATTGTTCATCAGGCGACATCTGCCCAACGTTTGATAAGTGAGTGCAGAGCAACAGACCTAAGTAAATATAGTTCAGTTTTACTTGTGGTTAAACTAAGCCATAACGGTTAAATCTTCAAAATTAAAAAAAATTCTCATGAGTGTTAAAAAGGTGCAATTGCAACAGTGTTAATACATTGTTCACTGCATCACCAGAACACCACCTTTCTTCATGTTCAACTTCCCACACCAAAAAAACTGAACCGTCAGAAGGCTCAGGATTTTCAAAATTCAATTGCGAAGGCTCTCTCCTAAATATGAAAAGGACCAATGTAAAGATTTAGCTTTACATGATTTCTACTTGAATATTCTTTCGAAATTGGCTACTAATGATGATAAAACGTTATCCGGGAACTGCCTTGTGCTGAGTAATTGCCTTGTGCTGTGATCTACAGTATTTGTAATCCTCTTCGAAAAATGACAAACAATTTAATTATTGATGCATCTGAACGTACTGTGATGCATTTCATTACCACGTTTTTATGAACTCACTTTCTTGTCTGTCTGTTTGTCCGGATCAAATTTTGAAACTCAAATTTCACTCACTTCCCGACTAGCTATCAAGCTGAAACTTTCAGGATAGCCTAGAAACTGATGACAATGCAATCTTATGTGAAAAAATTAATTTTAAGAATATTTTTTAAAAAGAATAAAATAATTATAGTAGATTAAAAAATTAATCTAAAAAACCACGTTTTCAAAAAGCAAAAAATAACCTTAAAAGTGGTGCACATGGAGATTGTTGCAAAGAAGTGAAATACAAATTAAATAGATGCGCACCACGTTTAAGGTTATTTTTTTCTTTTTTAAAACGTGGTTTTTTAGATTAATTTTTTAATCTACTATAATTTTTCATATGAACCTACCTATGCAGTGAATTATTTGTGATGAGCCAGAAACTGTTACACTGACAATGATTGGGAAGGATGTGGGGACATTTTTGTGAGCCTTGTGAATGTCGCCCAAGTGGCAAACAGTGCTTGTACTATCTTAACCAATCAATAATCAGAAAAGTGGTTTGTCAAATTGAACTACAGACAACAACAAGCAAGCGCAGACAGAACTGCAAGATGCTTTTCCGGGCCTTTTCCCAATTTTGCCAAAATAAACAAAAGAAGAAAGAGAAAGAAGAAAAAAAAACCAGATTGACAGACCTGCAAGATGCTTTTCGGCCCTTCGCCAATCACAGTCAACTGCTTGTTTCTCGACGCCTCGACTCGGTTGGAGCTAAAGTACCAGCGGATCGTGGCATTCGGGATGGACTCTGCGATGCACGTGAGGTTGATGGGGTTGTCGTTCCACGAATAGTACACGTCCACGTTCGGCATGGCGTCGAACGACGGCGGGAATTGGACTTCCAAGTGGCCGTTGACGTACGCCTCGCCGCCGTCGTTGCGGGCAGTGCAGCCGTACAGGCCGTCGTCGGACCGCTCCACGGAGTCCAGGGCCACCACGGCCACGTTCACGTCGCCGTCGCGGATCTGTCGAGCGAATAACGATTCAAGGACAACCACAACAGCCAAATTAGTCGCGATAAAACTGAATAATCCATCAGTTGAAAAAATAAAAAAGAGGAAAAAGCTCAAGAAGTGTGTGTGGAGGAAATTATCAGAGCGATTCCTTCGGCGATTTCAGCAAAGCAGACAATCTTGGGAGTTTTTTTTTTTTTTTTTTTACCAGCGAGTTGATCCAGTTTATTTTGAGACGCAGAAAACTATACACGTTGGAAGCCCAGCGAAGGGTTGGAAGATTCTCAATTTATTTCCATGGTTTACTGCATGTTTTCCTTTCATCTTGAAAGAAATAGAAGAACATAAACCCCGAAGAATTACATTATCCTTTATTCTCAGTTCAATCAAAACATTTCCTCCAGTTTCCTAAGAGTACATTCCATGATTTTGGATATTTCTGAATTTGAATAAAATCATCTTAGAAGACGAAACCCAGTGAACAAAGAGTAGTTAATTTCCCCTCCAAAATGCATCCAAATTCGAAATTAATGGATTATTCGATTGAACGATATTCTATAATACTGTTTCTACATCTTTTCAGTGGAATGATAAATTCAATTCAATTAAATATTTTTATCAATGCGGAAGGAAGACACGCTGCCAAAACAACTCAAATTTATCATTTTTTATTTGAAAAAAAGAACCGGATGTCCGGCTTCAAACTGTTGCTCTACATTTAGCTCGTTTGTTGATTTCCAGTTTATGAAATATTCACAGCAGCCCACTTCCTATTCCTAAATTTCCTGGGATTTCCACTTCACGGGAGCAAATGGCTTTCATTGAAGTAACATTACAAGCCTGGATATCCGTTTCGTGAAAAGGGGCGCAAATGTGAAAAGGAAGTGCTTTCTGGCTTCGAAATCGTATCCTGAAATGGACGTTTTCTTCGGATTGTCACACAAAGAATTTACGCAGGAAAAGGAAACTCTTTATGGCTATAGATGGATGATATGAATCGTGGCATTTATTGAAGCGTCAAAAAAGGATGTTTTGACTTCGGAGTAAAATTGACAGGAGGAAATTTGAATCATTTTTTTTCTTCGGGTCACGGCGATTTTCTGGCAAATGGATGGGGTATTCATCATTTGACAGCAAAAGGAATTCAACGAAATGAACAGTAAATCATTTACTCTGTCGTACACAACTTCACTGACCACCCAAGTTCACAAATTCTGCAAATCAAAGTTTCCTATGAATAACTCTACTCCACTCACTCAACTTTTATTTTCATAGAACCTTCTTGAAGCTTGCGATTGGTTTCAATTTTTTGAAATACTACTGTACAGTATATTCAATTAATGTGGTTTTCAATCTTGCAGGTTCATGCATCACAAAAAATGAGACATCGAAACATTTCGAATAATTGCAATTTCAAGTGAGCGTTGCTCAAAATTATCATGAATTTGAGTACCATGAAATAATTTCCTCCGGCGAATTTTACGTGTTCAACCACATAGATAAGAATATTGTTTTTCTCAAGAAAGCATCACGAATTTGAATCGTTTGCACATGAGAGGTACGAAATTTATTTCTGAAGTTCCAGAAAAATGTCAAACCGCTGAAGTTTCACTTCTAGTGCCATATAATGTTTTTTTCTTCTTCTGAGGAATTAATTAATTTCCAGCTCATTCGTATGCAATTTATGTTCTCATTCCGCGAAATTTCGTCAGACCATGAAAATCTCGTTACAACGAAGCCATTCAGACCAGTAAAATTTCTCTACAACGAAGTCATTGTGACCAGTAAAATTGGTTATTGTGAAGAAAATCTCGCTATGAATATAACATTCAACATTCTAAGGGTTGCCTCCAGGTCATCTAAGGCAATTCCGCCATTTTCATTGACAGCCGCTGTCACAGCCGCCACTTTCGAGCTGGAAAAAAAGTGGCCGCCACTTTGGCGGCTGTGACGGCGGCGGCTTTGACAGCGGCTGTCTTCATTTTCATTCCAAGAACTTTTGTTAGAACCCTCGTATATATACGAGCCAGTATTATTTAGGTGCATGCGTGTATAATGTTCTTGTTTTGGGGTTTATATACTGTACTGAATAACACATGCACCTGCATGCAGATATGATTATTATATACGTATAGATAATGATAAAATTGATAATGATGGAAGAGGGATAACTAAATTGTTGCTTGATAACCCTGCGCTGTCACTGAAAAAGGTTCAGTATTATTCCATAGTCTCAACCCAGCAGAAAACGCATGAAAATACAGTATATGTAGTAAAGTGAATTATATAGACTACTGCTGTATATATATATATACTGTATACATGCGTCAGTACTGTATACTGTGGAGTGGACTCACCAAATCATGATGCAACTCCTCGTCATCAGCATCAACATCACCTTCCTCCTCCTCGTCGTCGTCATCGTCGATCTCATCATCGTCTTCACCGTGGTCGTACTCATCGTCGTCGTCATCATCATCATCATCTTCCTCGTTGTCGTCATTGTTGACATGATTCCCGTGTCGACGTGCTGTTTGCTGGTGCTGCTGATGAAGACCACCACCAGCAGCAGTAGTACGGCCGTGTCGTCCTGCTGCTGCCGATGTTGGCGCAGCAGACTCACGATTGGTGGTGGAGGAGCCAGAGGACCAACACTGATCCCGCACCATCATCATCATCATCGTCATGCTGGGATCATCATCGGGATTGTGATCGCCGTGCTGCTGCTGGATAGTCAGGGTTGTGGCGTCCAACTCGGCTGCATTATTATTCTTATTGTGACTGATGGTGTCCATCAGCATTTCCATGTTACCCGCACACGCATGCTGTTGCTGCTGCTGCTGATGATGATGGCGTCCAGCAGCAGCAGTGGTGCCGATAGTGTGGTAATGGTGCATCATCTTATTGCTGGTGTTTATTGCCAGTCCTCCTGCTGCTGCTGCTGCTGATGCAGGCGGAGGCGGAGGTGGTGGCGGAGGCGGGGAACGAGACTGACCACTGGTTATCTGCAGGAGGAAAACGACGCGTTCAAGGTTTGACTCTGAAAACTAGGTGGTGCTCCTTTCCTGAAGCGTGCTTCACTGTGACCATACAATACATCACAGCAGGTAGAGTTATTTGTGTGAAGTAATAATAAGCAAGTGATGGAGCAGGAATTCCGCGCGCGTTGAAATTTTCCGCCTGATGCATTATCTTATCCGATGATGACGACGACAAACAATAACACACGCCGTACACGGGGCTGCCAAGATGGCGGCACGAAGACGACATGAAAAGATGGATGGAGGATGGGAAGCCATCATGCAGCAGCAGCAGGTAATACTGCCGACGGTATATGGATCGACGAATATTTAAAGGCTCTCGGATTATCGATATTCAATATGTGCTGCAAGTTTTCATGATGGCAGTTCAGCACCATATATATACAGGGTATATACTGTATGCTTTTTCCTCCTTCTGCTGCTGCTGCTTCAAATGGTGTAACGTCGTCAGGCTGTGGCTGTGTGGGACGAGAAAATCAAGTTTCCCGGCCGTTTAGCCGAAAACCCGACTTGTAGGAAATTATTGCTGCCCAAGTACAGTATATGCCGTATTGTACTATACCACGCTGATGATGACGACGAGACCAATATTCATTGTATACGCGAATACAGGGCACAAATGAAATACGTAGGATGACTTGTTTGAATTCTAATCCTTCTTATACTGCTCTTGATCGATTGTTGCGTTCAACAGAAATTCTGGAATTGAGGCGAATTATTGGTCGATGAATTAATCAATACACTGTACACATTCATTGTGCAGCGCACAAAACAGAGGGAATAAGATTCAAGTTTTCTACTTGCACATACTGTATATTTCATACAGATATTTCATATCGATAAATAACTTAATTATGTACAGTATTCATACAAGCATTATTGTACATGACGGAACAATCCTATTATTAATGTATATCTACTCACTCTGATGCCAGAGAGTTCGTAGTGTGGAGGCGACGTCTCGTCCATGATGATGACACCACCTGCAGAACCACCACCACCCCCGGGAATTGAGCCAAGAGCGTTGCTGCTGCTGGTGGTGGTGGTGTTGCCCGTCAAGTTGCTTGCTGTGGTGGTGCTGTTGGTGGTGGACACCTGTTGTTGTTGTTGTTGTTGTTGGTGGTGGTGGTGTCGCTGATGGTTTTGATTCTGCTGGTGCTGGTGCTGATGGTGTTGGTGGTGGTGCAGGAAGTGGGACGGAACAGGCACGCCGAGTCCCAGTCCGAAGCCGAATCCCCCGATGGCCAGAGTGGTGGACTCTCCTGAAGCCGACCAGCAGCTGGACGACCCGCCCTTTTGCGGCTGCTTGCTGCTGCTTCTAATATTGTTGTTGTTGTTGCTGTTCATTCCGCCGCCGCCGCCGCCGGTGCTGTGCACGCTCTGCCAAGTCGACCGCCTGCTGTTGCTCCCACTGCCGCCGCCGAGGGACGACGCGGTGGCCCGTCGTCGCACCGGCGGCCGCTTATTACTCATGCTGTTGTTGTTGTTGTTGTTATTATTATTATTACTACTTGTGGTCTTATTATTGCTGCGGAAAGAGCCTCCAGCTGCTGCTGCTGCACTGGCTGCAGCAGCAGCGGCGATGCTGTCTGCCATGAGTTGCTTGAGGTGGTGGCCAGCACTGGTATTGCCGCTGCCATTGCCGCCACCACCGATGCCGCCGTCCTGATCCCGGCGCACTTGTTGCCGCAGTTTCTCCTTCGTGGCGGCCGCCTCCCGGGCCGCCGCTGCCTCGGCTGCACTGTCGCCCAGCAGGATGTTCACGAGGGCGTACTCCATGAGGGCGAGGAACACGAACCTGTTGTTGTTGTTGTTGTTGTTGTTGCCACGATCAACGAGACACAAGCAGGTAAATCAACAAGAGAGAGAGAGAGAGAGAGAGAAAAGAAAATGGTAGAATTAGTGATGTATATAAGCTTATTCATCAGCTTCTTTGACAACAGTGTATACAATAATTGAATGTGTATAGAATAGAATACTGCATATGCAGCCAATCTTAGTAACATAATAAATAACATGCTGCTCTTGAAAAGGAAAAAAAATAAGCCCATTGGATTTCCACAAGGATTATGGTACGAACAGGTGTGCAATGCATATATATATACTGTACAGTATATGGTTTTTGTGCAAGTGATACGAAATCATCGCGCAATAATATATATAAAGGCAAAAGTTCAAAGAAAAGCCATGTCCAACATTAATTTCATAAAATACATGTGGAAATTTATGCAAGTCCCATACTACTATTATATGATAGACATAAAATTATCAACAAAGCACGGAAAAAAAACAGTCTGCACCTATAGTATGCGGCTTATATTATTTTGTGGCTGATGCTGGCCATCAGTTTGTCCGAAAGTGGAAACGAGAATGAAAATACGGAAATGACTTTTTGTTTGAAGACAAATAAGAAGAAACGAGGCCTCTCATCACTATATTGTAGACAGCAGTGCTGTGGGTATAATACATTGTATGTATGCTGGTTATATTATACACAGCACTGGCCAGCTTTCAGCAGCCTTATCAGCATTTCATGATGATGCTGATGGACGAAACTCGATAATAAAAAAAATAAAAAAAACGGAAAAGAAATCCAGGCAAGCACGACAATTGCTCTTATGTATAGTATAATAGAGCCAGTCAGCCCATTGGTAGAATCTTGAACACAGCAGGAAAGAAATAAAGCCATTAAACATTATCAACGGGCAACACATTAAGTGGGCACGTAATTAACCTTATTGGGATATCGATAATACCACGGCCTATTGTACCTTCCAACCACAGCTAGTATATGGAAATCTGATTCGGAGAATAGCGACTATATACGTATACTGCATATATATATATATATATATATATATATATATATATATATACGGACAGGTAATAATTACAGTGATTAATTTGTCCCTATAAATACTTGAAAAAAATGAACAAAACAAATAATGCACAAAACGTGGTTTATGCACAATATGTGATGACGAGTGATTAATAAGTAGATGATGACAGTCACGAGGCCTTTTGCAGTCCCCTCATATATATGCACCCATGCTGTACGTAGTGTACACTTTAGTACTATATCATAACCGTATATAGTAGTGTAATGTGTACATAATTGCACATACATACAGTATATACCGCTTTTTCCTATATATATATATATATAAATACCCCGGATAACTAAATACTGTGACATGGCTTCATGCAGCGTAGTTATTATATTACAGGTCGAGTAATATTACAGGTGCAAGTGTTGAGGAAAATATAAGTGCGAATGATATGATATCGTCATCATTTCACCCACACACTTTTCTTCTTGTTATTGTTGTTGTTGCGTTGTTCATGCAGAAGTACCTGCATGACTCTTGCAAAATCCCCCGATATGAGGACAGTGAACGACAAACACCGTCATAACAGCAGCAACAACAACAACAACAGAAACTTGAGCATCATATAATACAGATAGTACAGAATTCCGAAGGGAAGATTGAATCCGACGCAGTCATCTTTTTATATGCTAATACTGAAGTGTTATTATTCCTGCTGTTGTTCCTGTGCCAGCTTTCTCGTCATCATATTACAGTACAGTATTCAACTGCGGATCAACTGCACTATGAGCCGGAAATATATAACAAGATAATGCAGAGGGAATTAAACAAATGAATGAATGAATATACCTTTTGAAACCATCGACGAGTGCTGTATCACACTAAGACAGGTGTTAGGACATGACATGTATATAGGTGCTCGACGTAAATCACTCATTATTTCAGACAAATAAATAAGCTATATATATATATATATTAGTGACGCGGCAGGGCTGAGAAAATACTTGCAATTTGATCTCGCACCAGCTTATTTATTTAATCCGTATTGCATTCAGGAGTGTGAAAGTATGTTGTGCGTGATGTGAAATAGTATATGCGAGACATATGTATACG